AGTGTGGGGAACTTTCCAGTCAGCTGAGTCTCAGCGCTTGTGGAACACCCCTGCTGGCCAGCCAGTGCGCACCCAGGAATGGCGGGGCCTGTAGTTCCTCTGCAGGTTCATTCCTGAAGTCTGGGGAAGTGAGCTGCCTACTCTGGATCAGGCTGATGCATTCACCTGTAATCCAGCCTGAGGAGCCTGGCCATTTGTGGCACGGGGCTAAAAGATCTCAGGGTGCCATGTGTAGCCAGTGTCACCCCAGCGTCATGCTACGAGTCATCTGGCCATGACAGTAAACATCTTGGGTACAGAACAGCTCATTCCCTAAGGGCATCTGCAGGCTGGTGAGGGGAGACAGCCAGAAAGCCAGTGACTACAATGTGTCATGTGCTGGCGCAGCAGGAGACCTGGGGTTCTGTGGCATTCCTTCTGAGAGCTGTCTGGAGCAGAGGCCTCTAGGATGGGTAGGAGGCCCCACGTGGCACAGCCAGATGTGGGAGGGCGTCACAGAGTTTGTGGCATGTTGAGGTGGGAGCTGGTAGCTGTGAGGATGAGTCTGGAGGTAGATGGGGCTTTGGCCCACTCATGAGCTGCTCAGGACTTTCAGTGTAAAATCAGCAGTCTTGAGTAAGCTAGTCACCTTCCAGTGACAACTGACAGTTCTGAATACATTTGGGTACAGAATGGGAGAAACAATTTAGAGTTTTTGTGTGTGTGTGTTGGTTGGTGTTTTCAATTTTCCTTCTACACGGGAGTTAGTTTACTTATGCTAAAAAAAAACACAAAGAAAACTGTGTGCCTGGGGTCTTTGCCTACCAAGCTGGATTAGTGATTTCATTGAGGCAGGTTGAAATAGACAAGAGGTTATTTGGAGGTGAGGCCATGGCATTAACTGACAGGAGCCTAGCACCAGGCAGACCTCTGCTAGGGTGACCTTTGATTGCTGCGATGTACTGTTGGCAGCGGACTGCGAATCCACAAACTGGGAGAAGTTGCCTGCTGGGTTGTGGCGGCCACTCTGCTTGCTCCCCTCTAGTGTCTTAGGTGAGGGGATGGCTCAGCTCCTGCCCCCTGGTGGAGGTTGGGTGTTTTGCTGTAGCTATCAGGCACTCTTTCCACTCTCAGCCCTTGGTTCCTCCTCAGTGCCCTTCTCTTCAGTCCCCTTCTCCTTGGTGCCTTTCCCAGGAGGCTCCAGGCTCAGTAGTGCCTGGGAAAAAGAGAGCTCCTTTCTGAATATTGGCACGAGCCCAGAAATGGCACCTCCAGAGCAAATGACGACCCTAGGGCGTGCCGGTGGCCAGGCACATGGGTGTTGGTTGCATTGTCGCAGCTGTCCTCGTGCACTCTTTCCCCACCATGCTAGTGGACAGAGGATGGGAGCCAGGGGTGGGTGCAGTGGGGAGAGCGGCTGCGACCAAAGAAGCGGGGCACGCAGCCACAGGCCATGCTGTCCTGCTTTGGTGCATCCAGCGCTTGGCTCTGAGAGTGAGGGGTGCTACACTGCAGACTCATTTCCTAGCTCATCCAAGGGCCCCAGACACCCTCTATGTCATGTCTAAGCTGTGCGACATGTCTAAGCCATTGAGGGCTTTTAACGAGAGAGCTCTGAGGTCCTCTGCACTCGGGAGAAGGGGCGAGGAGGTCCAGGCTGGATTGTTGCGGCCTCCTCCTGTGATCTACCTTCATGGTCCTCTCTGCCTCCCTTGCCCACCTGCATGCACTTTTGCTGTCTGCACCTGAGCTCCGCTCTCTCTTTCCTGCCCATCCAGAGACCTGGCTCTGTCCTTTAAAATAAATCACCCCGCCGGTGTCAATCATGTCAACTGGAGTCTCGCATCCATGTTTCTCACTCCATGGATACATTATTGTAAACTGTCTGCTTCTCCAGGACCAGCCACTGGCTCCTGCAGGTGCTCAGGCTTCCTCCTGTCCTTCATCTTGACTTCCAGCTGCAGGCAGCCACCCCGTTCTCAGGCTTGTCGTAAGCCATCAGAAATCATCTTAGTCTTTCCAGGTATGAACGTACACTGAGGGCAGGGAGACATGCAGCTTACTCGGCTGCCCAGCCTGGCACTGTTCCTGCTGGTCCCCACATCTGCAGGAGCTTAGCATTCTCTACGCCTCCATGTGCACTCCAGTCCCAGTCCCACTTGCAGTCCTGGTTTGACATCTTGGGGGTGTGGAGGGAGGATGAGTCACCAGAAGCACCTTTGCCTAATCTAAGCCTCCCCGCACGGAGCCCTTCCTGGTCCTGCTGGCCACAGGCTGGCCTCGGAGTGGGACATCCTGGAGACTGTCTCAAGGGACTCTGCCCAATCACCTCTCTCCCAGGCCCAAGCCATTGTTATTTGGAGATGAATGAAGGAAGGTGGCATGCTAGGCCCCCAGCCTCCTGTCGCTTCCCTTCTGGCTCAGTCAGCATGTGCAGGCGTTTGATGAACCCCAGAGGGAACATCCTGAGAGGCCTCTTAGAAAGCCTGCAGCCATGCTCCAGACCCTGGAGACAGGCAGGGGACCTACTATCTCCTCTGAAATGATTTCCATAGGGTGCCATCAGGGTGCAGGCTGCTTTGGCTAGCCCGCTTTAGCTTGTGAGTAGGGAGGCCCCGGAGGAAGCAGGGTTGGGGGAGGGGGGACCTGTTTATGTCCCCATCCTTGGTGATGAATCTCCAGGGTGCTGGTTGCATGTTGGCAAAAGGTTGTATTTTCGGTCTCCAGGCACGACAAACTGCAGCTCCCCTGTCCGTGAGGCTGGCTAACGCACAAGGTTTGGTAGCAGGGCCCCCCTGTCTGCAGAGCTGCTGTTGGCTCTTCCAAAGCAGTGGGGTACGGGCCAGTGGAAAGACTTCCCTCATGACCCTCTGAGTGTTTTGCCGGCTTTTTGGCTTGTTGTTTGCCTGTGTGGTTTTCTCGTGTCGGAAGCACTCATTACAGTAAATACTGAGTCAAGCCAAGTGTTGTTTATACCACTGTTATGCATCTTCTATAGTAGACCGGTTCTAGGAAGAGGTTAGACTGGCTTCACGCAGGTACCTCAGCCTTCCCAGCCTAGCTGCCCAGACATTTTCACACCCCCAGACTCTAGGACATTTAGCTTGGCTCTTGGCAGGGTGAGCCCCCACCAGGAACTCAGTCTCTGGGTCTGTCACGTCTTTGACTGGGAAAGATTCTTGAGACACTTGTGCACCTACAGCATGACCCCAAGTTGGTACGTGGGCATGGAGGCTTAGATCAGCCTCTCTGCAGGGAAGCAGAACACAAGCCCAGCTGTGTAAGCACCCTCAGCCAAGAACGGTCTCAGCCGCACAGCTGGCAGCCACCGTTTCTCTCTTTGCTGTCAAAAGTTTTCACTGCCCCTGAAACGAGTAGTGCATTTCGATGCAGAAAGTCATTAACCTGTTTAGATCTCCCAGCTGATTCAGTTACTTGATCTCTCAAAGCTCTGGAATGAGATACAGTGTTAAAATATTGAATCTGAATCCATCTGGCTCTTTCCCAGTTCCTGCAAGCTTGTGTCCAGGGTCTCTTCCTAAAGTCCTGTGTGAACATTGTGGGGACCAGGACAAGCGAGGCACAGTATGACACCATAGGGCTTTAGGTTTGACATCCAGCACCCTGTTGCATTCCAGCAGCAGACTCGTGGGAGGTTGTGCCTGCTGATACCATTTATATCTGCAGTAAGGAGCCTCCATTTACCTAGGGCTGCATAAGGGGCAGGGGTGCTGTAGACGCTTCATGCCGCAGCACTGTGGAGGCAGTTGTTCAAATTTAGTTGGAGATCAAGGCCAGTGTCAAAGGCAATCGTACAGGTATTTCTGTGGGCACTGACAAGGTGATTTTAAAACAGAGAGAGACCCAGGTACCGGTGGCTCATGCCCACGATCGTAGCTACTCAAGAGACTGAGATCTGGGGATTGAGGTTCCAAACCAGCCAAGCAGACAAATCCCAGAGACTCTTACCTCCAGTTAACTAGCAAAAAAGCTGAAAGTGGAGGGGAGGCTAAAGTGGTAGAGCACCAGCCTTGAATAACAAAGCTGAACAAGAGCATGAGGCCCCGAGTTCAGTGTCAGCGTGTATATCCACGGGAATGCAAAGCATGGAGAAAGGGAAAGATAATATTGAAAAGGTAGAAGGAAAGAAGCTGGGGGGCATCCATGACCCGTGGCAAGTGGCAGCACTTCTTATGCAGCTGCAGCCAGTGTGGTGAACAGCTGGTATGCCATTCACATGATGCAGCGACAGATCGGTGCAGCTAGAGCAGCGGAAGGACTTATGTCATCACCTGATGGCCGGCAGGGTGCCACTGGAGTGCATGAGAGAAATGAAGGCCCTCAGTGAACAGGGCTGGCCAGCCAGCGCTCCAAGCAGAAAAATAGAAATTGTGACCTGTATCGTCTGGCACACACAGCAATCAGCCGCAGAATCCCTCAGTCTCAGGTGCTATCGTGGTAACAGTGGCACACCCCAAGGTTTTATGACGTCCTCATCCAGTGCCAGGCTCACGCAAGCTCCCAGAATCTTCCTGCTGGACTGCTGTTCTGCCCTTTGTCTTCTTATAAAGGGTTCTGTAGTTTCCAGGTTTTCTTTTCCCGTTGAGAATTATTAATGAAAGCAATTGCCATCGCGTGAGTGGTACCAGGTCACACAGAGTAGCATCTACCTGCATATCTGGCTCTTTACCTGACACCATGACAGCTCTGTGCTACTGCTGACCCCATTTTTAGGCGAGAGAGCTGAGGTGCATAGAGGTAGAAGTAGCTGATTCAAGAATTTCCCAGGTGGTGACAGAGATGGGCAGGGCCCGGGCACGCTTGGACCACAGTCTGCAATTAACCCACCCACTCCACAGTCTTTGCACTTCCCAGCCCAGGTTCTCTCTCTGCACCTCCCTGCACAGTGTGAGGCCCTCCTTCTCCAGCTTGCAACTGCCCTACCAGCCTCCCTGAGCCCTGGACTGTCACTACAGCAAGTGAGGCAGAATAGTAATGGCAGGCAGCCCTGCAGTGCAGCTATGCTCATCACTGGCTGGCTGCAGCTCAGTGGTGACCAGGCCCCAGTGGTGACCCCTGCCTGCAGGGGGCTGTGGTAAAGCCCTGTGCAGGGCCACAGTGAGGAAAGGGCAGAGCCAGGGGTGGAGGCTGCTGACTGCCCGGCTGAGCGTCTCAGCGGGTCTGTACTGTCACTCTCCGTGTCTAGCATCTGGACCTCGGTTGTGTTCAGTCTTGTATATTGCGATCTACTTAGGTCCCAGGCAGCTGTGCCTGCCCCCACAGCATTTCCCGAGCACCTGCTCTGTCCCAGATATTGAGGAGTATATTAGTGTCACCAGAATCAGGAAGATATTCTTGCTTTGAGACATGAGTCTCATGAGAGAGGCAGGTCTCCGTGACTCTGGGAGGTCTGTGCAGTAGTGAAGGCACCCGAGTGTGGAGGTGCCGGTGAGGGGTTAAGGAGGGCAGGGATGAGGAAGCCCTCTACAGGGAAGGCTTCACCAAGAGGTGAAGCCTGAGGCGGGCTTTGCCATAGGAATAAGAGTTTGCTGCTTGGCCGTATTACACAAAGAATATAAGCCGTGTGAACGGCTCCTGCCTATAACCTTAGCTATTTGGGAGATAGAGATCAGGAGATTGCAGTTTGAGGCCAGCCTGTGGAAAAAAAGTAGCAAGATGCCATCTCAACCAATAAGTCAGGCATGGTGGTTTAACTCCTATCATCCTAGCTTTGCAAGAAGCTACAGGTAGAAAGATCATGTGAGAAAGATCCAGGGCAAAAGAGACCCTACCTGAAATTTTAAAAGCCGGAAGGGCTAGGAGTATGTGTGGTTCATGAGAAAAGTGCCTGCCTAGCAAGGGTGAGGCCTAAGTTCAAACCCCAGTACTTCAGAAATAAGTAAGTAACGAAGTATATTCTGGATAGAAATCACTGGGCAGAAAGCCCAGGCAATCGAAGTCAGACTTTAAAGATCTTAAGCTCCCCGTTCTGCATCCAGGCGGCCTCCTGGGTGAGCTGTAGCTTATGGATGATGTCTTCCTCTTCTCAACAGTGGGGAGAGTTACTGCTTTTGGAGGGCAGTACTTCTTACTGGGTACTAAAAAGTGCATGTAGTGGGGCTGGGAAGGTGGCTCAGTGGTAGAGCGCTTGCCTTGCATGCCTGAGGCCCTGGGTTTGATTCCTCAGCACCACATAAGCAAAAAGAAAAAATGCCGGAAGTGGCGCTGTGGCTCAAGTGGTAGAGCGCTAGCCTTGAGCTGAAGAGCTGAGGGACAGCGCCCAGGCCTAGAGTTCAGGCCCCATGACTGGACCCCCCCCCAAAAAAAGTGCATGTAGTTTCTAAGAAAATTAATTCAGTGCTTGATTATACTGAATCTTTAAGATGTAACAGATAGCAGCACTTTAATGATCCACAAATCCCAGGCTCCCCACAAGCAGCCTTGTCCTTGTTCCTTATTGCTCCATTCGCAAGATTCCACCTCTTAGATCCTGCTGTTCATGGAAAACTCTAGATGGACTAGTCCTAACTAATCTTTCCTTCCCTCCTCTCATCTGCCCCTCCCACAACTGGAGGAGGCCAGGTGACTAACCCAGTTACTTCCCCTTGAGTCTGCTTTTCCTTCTCCAGTCTGAGGCCGTTTGGCAGATGACATGGCCTGGATCTGCCCCCCTGCCTTCCTCCCCCGCCCCTGAACTATCCTAAAACCCATGCAGGTGGCAGCCCCTGGGCTCCACATTGCCCAGGCCTAGCTGTAGTGGTTCTGGTTCTTCTGGCCTCCCTGCTGCCAGCAGAGAGGCTAGAAGTCTGGACTTCACGTGTCTGTCTGCCTCCTCAGCTGGCTTCTGGGCCTATTGGTGTGGACAGAGGACCTAGTATGTGGTCTTTGACTTTGTGAACTTAATAGTCTGTGCTCAACACATAAGATCTCTGCCCCTGGCCTGTGGACCAGCAGCTTCAGTTGAGCCCTAGTTCCAGTGGCACCCTGCCCTGCAGGGGGTTAATGGGCATTCCAAGGGCAATTTTGTCACACAGGATCCCTAACCACTGGCTTTGGGACACACCCTCCCTAAGCTGTGACCCGGTGTGTGGATCACCGCATCAACCTGGCTGCAGGTCCTGGGTCAGGCACTAAGCACTGAGCCACGTGTCTCTGTCGGCCTCAGATCTCGAGGTGTGCGTGCGTGCGTGCGTGTGAGAGTGATCTCCCACTGGGCTCCTGTGAGGAAGGTGGCTGGGGAGCTGTTGTCAAAGCTGTGGTGAAGTTCCTGTCCCCTTAGGAGTCAGCCATTATTTTCATTGAGTGGTGAGATGTGTCTGAAACGTGCTGTCTCCCAAGTGCAGCTGCTGGCCATGGGCCCGCTTTCTCACCAGCCTAACCTCGCTCCTTCCCTCGCTCCCAGGTACCTGTACCACGTGTTGACCAAAAACACCACTGTCACAGAGCAGAACCGGAACCTGCTGGTGGAGACCATCCGATCCATCACCGAGATCCTGATCTGGGGAGACCAGAATGACAGCTCAGTATTCGAGTAAGAGCTTCGGTGCCGCAGCTCTCCGGTCCCACTTCTTCCTTTCAGTGCTTTGCCAAGTGCGCACCGTGAGTCACCCCTCACCATGCGGACTTGACGCTCATTTGGTCCTGCCTGAGTATCTTGCTCCATGGCCGTCCTTGAACCTCCGTAGAGGCCAGCCAACAGTGAGGAGTGACGGGAAGGAAGGAGTGTCGGGTAATTTTCCAGGTAGTGTCCAAGGATCTCCCAAAGGCAGAAGAAGCACCCTGTGTGGTGAGCTTGTAGATGGACAGGAAGGCCCTGCCCCTGGCCGAGACCACCCACAGAGCCAACAGTTCTCACACACACACAAGCAGGCTTACTGAGGGCCTGGCTCCATGCTGAGCTTCGAGGGGATAGTCTATACTTTGCCTCGGGTGGAGGCCCCCCCAGGTTTGCTCAAGGTCATCTGACTGGTAAGTGATGAAGGAGCAGCTTCACCAGTGTCCAAACCTGGAGGCTCTTTGTCTGCCTGAGCCTTGGTCTCCACCTCTTTAAAGAACAGAGCAAAAGTCCTCTGTGTAGTGCCTGACCCAGAGCAGGCCATTCAGGGATGATAGCAAATGAGGACAGCGAGCCACCTGCCTGGGGGACCGCAAAGGCCAGACACCGCAACCAGCCTCCCATAGGGCGACTAGAGCTCAGTGAGGGGGTGGCGGGAACCTGTCTGATGGCAGTGTGTGAGCATGGGCTGCCCACTGTGTGGCCCCTTAGTCCTAAAGATGGGAAGAGCCCACTCACCGCCTGCTGGCTGGGCACCAGGAAGAAATGTCCCCTGGTGGGAAGAGTGCTCAGATGCCTAGTGGCATCGTGGGAACTGGGTGTTGGCTGCCCGGGCATGCAAGTACACTGTGTGACATGTCCGCCCGTGCTCCTGGGTCAGCCACCCACGGACCCTTTCCTGCTCTCTCCCCAGCTTCTTCCTGGAGAAGAACATGTTCGTTTTCTTCCTCAACATCCTGAGGCAGAAGTCAGGCCGCTATGTGTGTGTGCAGCTGCTGCAGACCTTGAACATCCTGTTCGAGAACATCAGTCACGAGACCTCACTGTGTAAGCATAATGTTTGACGTTGGCCATGTCGGCCTCCGCTGTCTGGGGTGTCAGCAGGGCATAGTATGGTGCAGCCTTGTGCTGTGTTTACTGCACACGGGGCTTGGTTTGGCTGCCCTAATGAGATAGCAGAGTGGCTGAACAAGAGCAGTTTGTTTTCCATTTCACAGCTGGTTTCTGGTGAGAACTCTTAACTGGCTTGTACACAGCTACTACTCTGGTCTGTTTTCGGTCGCTATAGCAAAGTACCCGAGGCTGGATAATTTTTAAAGGAAAGAGGTTTATGTTGGCTCATGTTGTTGAAGTCTGAGAAGTTCAAGGTTGGGGAGCCACATTTGGAGAGGCCTTGCATTACTCCAACTCCAGGGCCAGAGGCTCATGGAAAGAGAGAACACTGGTTCATCCCCTTATGCAGCTGCACGCATCACCAGACACCGCCCCTGGGCCCACCTCCCAGCTGCCACAGAAAGGGGGATTACAGTGCTAGCCCATGATTGCTGGGGCCCCTGGGACCACAGCAGCCCCCTTCCCACCTGCAGCCCTTCCTTCCTCTGTGTGTGATGGCAGCAGTCAGTCCAATCTGCCGCTTCTCTTCCTCTTGTGGGGACATCACTTTCATCAGATTAGCACCTGCCTTTACAACCCCATTGGGCCTTAGTTACCACCCCAAGCCCCCATCTCCAAATGCAGCCCCCCCTGGGGGTGAGCACTGGGCATACATGTTTGTTGGAGACATAGTTCAGACTGTAACTGTAACTTTTATCTCTGTGTGTTGGGACACTTAGAGGCTGGCAGTGTCCCCTCTGTTGAGCGATTTTCGAGTGTCTGCCTTCCTTCTTCAGGGTGCATATGAAAGAAACAGCCAGGCATTAGTGGCTCACTCTTGCAACCTATCTACTCAAGAGGCTGAGATCTGAGGATTGCTCTTTGAAGCCAGCTTGGGTAGGAAAGTCCCTGAGACCCTTATCTCATGAATGGGAGCTGTGGAGCTATGGCTCAAATGTAGAGCACCAGCCTTGAACAGAAAATGCTAAGGGACAGCACCTAGGACCTGAGTTCAAATCCCAGTGTTGCCACAGAAAGAAAAAGTCAGCCTCTGATGAATCTACCCAGGGCACAGGTAGCAGAGGGGTTTTTAGAGCTAAAGCTTTCCCCCAGCCCTCTAGCTTTATTTCTGCTGCCCAGCCAAAGGAGTGTGAGCCTCTGAGGTCAGTACCTGCCCTCTCTAAGCCCAGCTGGTTGTGAGCGCATCTAGAGCCAGGAGCAGTTTGTGTTGTGAGCTCAAATGAGGCCAGAGCATGTGAGGGTGTCAGCCCAGGATAGCAGCTCAGTGGTCCACTGGGGTGAGGGGGGAGCTTGTCACGGGTGGAGAGGGGTGCTGCTCAGCCTCCTACAATGCCCATGTCATCTGCCCAGGACAGTGCTCACCAGCCCCATCAGTGCTGAGGGCGAGCATCCTGGCTTAGCTCCTGGTGTTCCCCAAATGGCCCGAGATGGCCACACCAAGCCCAGGTGCAGCTTTCTAGGAAGAGGATGAGTGTCCCTCTCAGAGGCAGGCCCTATCCTGGGGACAGGGTGGAAGAAAGTGCCTGGTGGGTGGAAGATAAACACTGGCCCTTCTCCTGCAGGAGAGCCACGGCCTGTGGCTCACAGCAGTGGCCGCTAGGTGGAGCTGCTGTCCTGCAGATATCCTCATGCTTCCCATAACCGCCGGTTGACAAATGTGCGCTGATTCATGGTTCCCGACGTGGTTTCCCTTGTTACCAGCTTCAGTTTCACTGGATATGAAACTAGTGCGGTTTCTGACTTGAGAGGGGAAGACCCAGCTTGTGGCATGGGCCCAGGACTCAGACCAGAGCGGTGCTGACTCAGACAGCTGACAGGAGCAGCTGGGGCAGACAGGGGCTGCGGGAGAGAGCCGGAGCCTGGAGACTCAAGTCTTATGTCTGGTAGCCTACCCTCCCTCCCTCCTTCCCTCCCTCCCTTCCTTCCCTCCTTCCTTCCTAGTGCTGGAATTAGAACTCAAGGCCTCCACCTTGCCAGGTTGTACTTTTATTTTTTTTTTAGCTTCTAGGAACATTTTAATTTCCCCCTTTATTTCTTTAATGGCTTGGTATTTTACAATATGTAAATAGATACTTTACAATGTTTCTCCCTATGGTCTGATAGAATATAGGGAGTTTTTTCAATTTTTTAAAAAAATGCTAGTCTGGGTACTTGAACTCAGGTCCTGGGTGCTGTCCCTGAGCTTTGTGTTCAAGGCTAGTGTTCTGCTACTTTGAGTACAGCAGCAATTGTGGCTTTTTGGTGTATATTTGGAGATAAGAGTCTCACAGACTTTGCTGCCTGGGCTGGCTTTGAGCCTTGATCCTCAGATCTCAACCTCCTTGAGTAGCTAGGATTACTGGCACAAGCCACCTATGCCTGGCTCAATTTTCTTATTTTAGCTAAGATTTGCTTTGAGTCCTAAAATAGGTTCTATTTTGGAGAAGATTCCATGTGTGCTTTGCAGCTGCTGGATTAAATAATACTCTGTGGGTGTCTGCTAAGTCCGTTTGCTCTATGGTGTCATTTAATTCTTGAATTTTCTGTTGGTCAGAGTGGGGTACTAATGTCTCCCACTGTTATCATCCTGGGGTCTTTGAGTGCTTGTAAGTCCAGAAGTATTTGTTTAAGTGAACTTAAGTTGGCCAGCATTTGGTGTGTGTGTATGTGAAGGCCTGATATCTCTACTCCATGGAGTTTCCCTTTATTAATAGGAAGTGACTTTCTTTGTCCTTCTGACAATGTTTAGTTACTTATCTCAAAACCAAATAAAGATACAACAACAACAACAACAACAAGCAATTGGTTGAGGAGGGATCTGCCTTGCTGCATTCCCGGGCTGGCTTCAAACCACAGTCCTCCCGACCACAGCTCTCCACGTAGCTAGGATTCCAGGCACAAGCCTTTGGCATCTGGCTTGTTTGTATATTTACTTTCTGATCATAGAAGAAAACTGCTTTTATTTTAAAACAATAAAGTGCAGAAAGTCAGGTTCCTGTAGCATCCCGCTTGGACAGCATTCCCGGGTGCCATGTTGCCATTTGCCTCGCTTCCAGTCCTCTCAGATCTCGCTGTCCTCCATGGAGCCTCCAGATGTGGTTTGCTGATGGCGTCTTGCTGTGCTAGCGCATCTACCCAACGGTGGCCATGTAGGGACTTTCCAGGTTCTCACAATGGCAAGCGCCCATCACACAGATGCTGGCTGGGTGCCCTACATGCCAGAGGCCTGAGAGACTGAGATTGCACTGCCAGTGGACCCACATGGTGAGGGGCAGTGGAAAGACCCCAGCTGACCCCCAGAGGCTCCTCCCCTGCCACCCCCAGGGCCATCGCTTGGAGGCTCTGGAAGAGTCCCTGTGAGGAGCAGGTGAAGCTCGTGGCCGTTCCCTGTCCCCAGTGCACCTGACACGCAGGACTGCACCGGAAGCACCGGCATGACGCCTGTGCCACTGGCCGCCCGGAAGCCACCACAGTTCACCCCAGGGCTCCACCAGGCTTCCCAGCACTCCCTCCTCCTGTCTCCTGTGCCCCCCACCGGCACGATGGCATGAGGAAAGAAGCGCTCTAGCCATCGGACTCACCTGATGGCGCGTGCCGCACTCGACTCCAGCAGAAGTGAAGTGTGCGCTGACCACTCGAATAATGGAAGTCAGGTAGCCAGGCGGCCGATGGAGGACAGCTAGCACCCGCTCGGATGTGCCAAATGGGGTGGCTTTTTATAGAGTGGTTTGTGAGAAAACCTCTGTCCTGCCCAGCCCGCCCCCCCCCCCGCCCCGCACCTTGTCAAACTTTGCCAACAGTGGAAAGACATTCACAACACTTGCCTTTGAACGGTGTAGTGCCATGCGCGCATGTGCAGCAGGTGGTTTCTGAGCTGGCTCGGTTAGCAGGTTTAGTGCGCTCCCGAGGCCCCTTGCTTGTTACTGGCACCCTTTGCTCCTCTCCTGCAGCGTGAATTGACCTGTCGGTTTTGCTCTTCTTTCCTAGATTATTTGCTGTCTAATAACTATGTAAATTCAATAATTGTCCATAAATTTGACTTTTCCGACGAGGAGATTATGGCATATTATATATCATTCCTGAAAACACTGTCACTGAAGCTCAACAACCACACTGTCCACTTCTTTTACAACGAGGTAAGGGGGTACCAGTGGGGCCCACTGGGGTAATGCTAAGCCCTGCACAACAGCGCCCCGTCTGTTGGATTCTGTCCTGCATCTGTTCACAAAAAATGTGCGTGCTGTTTCACTTTGAGTACTTAAAATGTTTGCATTCAGTAAATCCTCATTTCATGGCCATGTAAGCTTCAGGCTGTGCCGGCGCTTGATACGTTAAAGGGAGAAGTCCCCAAGTGAGTTGGGGGAGCCATGTGCCATGGGAGAGCAGGGACCCCACCCCAGCCTAAATTGCAGACAAGCTGTGCTGCGCGCCCCTCCCCGCAACTTCCCTCTTCCTCCCTCCCTCCCTCCCTCCTTCCTGTTTGTCCTTTTCCAGCAGTACTGGACCTTGAACTCAGAGCCACTTGAGCCACACCTCCAGCCCAGGCATGCTATTTTCTGTAAGCTAATATGCCTATTAGTCCTCAAGGACTGTTGTTGTCCAGTAGACGGATTTATTTTATATACTAAAAAGTGCTAGCTGGCCAAGGCTAGGTCATCCTGGGGCTCAGTCATAGCATCAAGGAGCTGGGTTTTCTGTCCCGCTGTGTGACTGTGCGGTTGCATCTGACCTCATGTCTTCAGCCCGCATGGTCACAGCATGGCTGTGGCAGCACCAGACATCACACGTTCACAGGCAGTTGCTGGAATTTCTGATGAGATCACTTTCTTCTTGTGTCTGTTTTTAACTTGGAAAAACTTCCTCAGAAGTCTCTTGCCAGATTTCCCCTCCTACCGGTCAGAATTGTTCTCAGTGGGTCTGGAATTTGGGGTTGGTTTGGCAGGCTATTGCGACTCAGTCTCCCAGGATGTTAAAGTGCTCTGTTTCTCCCCCCCCCCCCACCAGATAAGTGATCCAAGGGACAAATCACAGTGTCCCCTGGGATCCAGCCTCCTAAGTCACCCACAGTCACTTTAACCAGTGTCTTCAGGCAGGCAGGCCAGCCCTGACTCTGGCCGTGCGGGCTCGGGTGAGCCTCTGGGCCGTCGGGAGGCCGCCGCACAGCGCCCAGGGCTTTGTGTGGCAGATGTCTTCCCATGGTGGCCTGGCCTACACTTGAAGTCAGTCTGTTGTCTCAAGTGCACCTTCTGAGCTGGGGTAAAGTCCAGCCAGCTGTCCCCAGCTGTCCCCAGCACTGGAGCCTCGGCTTTGTGTTCGCTGGCAGGGAAGAGCTGGTGTCCAAGCGGGTCTTTATCAAGCTCTCACCAGTGGTTTGAAAACTAACATCGTGGGTCCAGTAGCTAGCACATAGTATGTGTTCAGTAAGCATGCCCAGAGCCCAGGAGGCCGATGTGAGTGTTTGCTCAGAGGCTGTCCTGGTGAGAACAACCTACTTCTGAGGCTGGGGGGGGGAGGGGGGAGGGCTCCTGCGAGTCTCGGTGTTTGAGCTGGGCTCCCTTTCCTCTTTAACAGGAGCCACGATAGCGGTTGACACTTGGTGGGAGCACACCTGACATCTAGTTCTCAAAGTGGCCTCGTCCTGCTTAGTTCCTACCTCACCCCGCTGGCTGGAAGTCCTTGGAGGACCCTGATGCTCCTGCCCTGCATGGAGCCTGGAGCCTGGAGCCATGTGGAGCCCTGGCCACTAGAGGGCAGCAGAGCTTGCACTAAGAGGATGCTGCTCCCACATGAGACACTTTCCTTAGGCAGGCTGTGCTCACTGACAGCCGCAGGACAGTGTTTGCACTTTTTGTATTTCCTGTCCCATAGACCCCAGTACGGTAAATAGTGGACTTGGGAGTAACGCTGTGTGTTTTCAGAGGAGGTGGCTCTGGACTGGTCTCCTTTAATACCAGCACCTGTTTCACAGAGGTGGAGGCAGGCTTAGGGACACCGTGTATGTGGGGCCCTGGGAAGCTCACTGAGGCCCCTTCTTCCCTTTCATTGTGGTCTCTAACAGGTCTCAGCCCGCCGGGGTGGGGCTGGCTGGCGTGGCTGTGTAACTTTCTGCTGCTTCTCTCGTTTTAGCACACCAATGACTTCGCCCTGTACACAGAGGCCATCAAATTTTTCAATCACCCAGAAAGCATGGTTCGAATTGCTGTAAGAACCATAACTTTGAATGTCTATAAAGGTAAGCTTCCTGCCTGGCTGCTTTCTGATTGGCTGCAAGTCCTCACTCCCATGGCCTGTGTGTGTGTGCGCATGCGTGCATTCGTGCATGCGCACAGTTCTCTGCCAGTGACCAGGGAGCTCCTGGCTGCATGCCTCCCTAAATCCCTGCAGCCACCGGCCAGGTAGCTGCTGCTCTCTCCTGGAGCCTGCCCCTCCCCCCCTTCCCTGCATGCTGTGGTCTTGCTCTGTGCGACTACTCAGAAATCAAATGTCCTGAGGGGCGCATGGGATTGGGAGTGGCCGTGTTAAAGCTAAATGGAGCAGAGTTGTCTTTTAAGTGGTAGATTGGAAAGTCTGTGATAAAGGTATTTTATGCTTTGACCAGCAGAGGGCAGTATTGCATTTCCTGACCAGCTGTGAGGGCCTGCACTGACAAATTCCTCCTTTGGAGACATTAGGGCCCTAGACATTGCCTGTAGCAGAAAGCCCTCCCAGGCTCCTGGGCCCTGAGGCTTCTGAGACTGGAACTGGCCCACCAAGCCCTTTTCCTTGCCCTCGCCAGGGTGGAGCTGGGTCCCCATTGTCTCTGGGATGAGTCAGAATCTCGCTTATGGAGTTGATCCCCACTGGGGGAAGGGAGGCTCGCTCCTCCAGTTAAGCTCTTCCAGGGGTGGCAAACTGAATCCAGCCCTCAGACCCATTTTAATTGGTTTGGATGGTTTTGGGGAAAAAAGAAAAAGAATGGCTAATGTTTAAAACTTGGGAGATGCCAGGATTCCTCTTTAGGCTTCTCCAAATGTAGTCTCTCCTTTCTGTTCTCGGCTTTCCTTTCACTTTCACATAAACTGTTTACTTTTAGCAGTAATAACAAAAGTTTGGAGATGTCAAATGACGGTCTGGATTTTGGCTTGAAACCGCTTTCAGCCATCGGCATGCAGTAGGCAGGGCAGCAGGGGTCAGCTGGTGCTATGAGGCAGATGCCCCTCCTAGGGTCGGGGGCCCCCACTCCCTGTTTATACCCAGGGCACAAGGCTTCACTCACTGGGCCACCAGCCAACCTGGCTGGCCTCTTGAGTTTGTGGCTCTGGTCCCAGCATGGTTGGTTCACTGCCTTCTGCCCTCTGCCTCCCTCTGTTTTCTCTTGCTCTCTTCTAACCTGTCTCTTTTGGTTTAGATGCCTCCTGCCCTGGCTGTCTGTCCCTCTGGGCGGCCGTCTCACCTTCCCAGTTCCTAACCCTGTTAACTGTTGTCTGTTTTTTGCCTTTCCTCCAATGACGACTCCCGTCCTTACCCAGTGTCATGTAAGTTATTAACCGCGGGTTTCCGCTTTGTTCGCTCACCCTTACACCAGACAACTTGCATGACAGGCGCCGCCACCTCCAGCACACGAACCATGTTTAGCCCACGCATTTATTTTCTTCATTTGAAGAATAGCATAAGAGCTGCCTCGATGACTCTAGTTTTATGAATAAGATAAACATTTTCAAGGGTTTCCAGGAAAGACAGACAATTCAGATTGTAGCAGAGGGCTTTTTCATTGTGGTTCTTTTTTTTTTTTTTGGTTTGGTTTTTTTTTTTCAATTTCCCCCATGTTATTTTTAGTAAATAACTAAACTGACATTTTTTTTCCTCCTCGTTTTCTTTCTGTGAATGTTCCCAGTGGATAACCAGGCCATGCTGCACTACATCAGAGATAAGACTGCCGTTCCTTACTTCTCCAACCTGGTCTGGTTCATCGGGAGCCACGTGATTGAACTTGACAACTGTGTGCAGACCGATGAGGAGTAAGTGGCCCTGCTGGAAGGCCAGGGGAGAGCTTGGGGTCCACGGAGGGAGGCAGAGGGGAGAAGAGCACTCTCCTGGCCGTGGAGGCAAGGGCCCTGTGCAGGGCTGACAGTGGTAGAAGGCCTTCCTCCACGAGCTGTAGATGGGTTGCCAGGCAGCTACTCAGAGAAGAGGATGGATGCACAGAGTATCTGTCGGTGGTGTTGCAGCATTCAGGGAAGACACGGAAGGAAGAGCTGAGACCTGGGTGCACCTCAGGCGCGCCGCGCTAAGCGAGAGGCAGGCACAGAGCCAGGGTGGGTGGGCTTTCCCTTAGGTGAGGTGCCCGGGCTAGGCAGAGGAGAGGCAGGGCAGATCCATGGTTCCTGGACAGGGATAGGGTGGGGGATGGGAGCCTGTTCCTGAGCCACTGCGTTTCCCAGAGGAGCCAGAATGTTCTGGAGTTCATGGTGAGGGAAGTTGGACAGTTGGGAATATACTGAAGCTCTGGGGCTGGGCTTGTAGCTCTCTGGCAGAGCGACTGTGAAGTTTAGGCGAGGCCCTGCCTGGGGGCTGATTCCAGCACTGCAAAGGGCAGTTTAACGGTCTTAAGAGTGTTGTGCACGGCCCAGGGGTGGTTTTAGGGTAGGTGGTCTATTCTACCTGGTGGGATCTGGGAAGCCTGACACGTTCTACAGCGGGATTTCTTGATCTTGGGTGCAGTTGGCCTTTGCGCTAGATCCTTCATCCACCGCCCTCCTGTGCCTGGAGGACCTCCCCAGCGTCCTTGCCTCTGCTCTCTACACACCTGTGGCACCTTCTTCGGGTGGCACAGCACGAAGGCCAAAAAAAGGAGACGTTGCCAGATAAGGCGAAGTCTGCCTCAGGGGAGAAGTGGCCCCAGGACCCTGAATGAGAGCTTTGCCCAGGGCTGGGGTTGGGGCAGGGTGGGGGTGAGCCACTGGAATGTTCACTAGAGCACTCAGGAAAGGAGAGCGCATTTGGGGAAATGAGAGCCTGTGTGCACATGAACAGGCCCAGGCACAGGGTGATGGCAGTGGTCCTTACCTGAGCTGAGGGGGGACGGGTCTTCCGGCAGTGTGGGCGGGGCGGGCTGTGGAAATGACGCGGGTCAGCTGACCAATAGGACTCCGCTTTGAAGCCTGTATACATGTTATTTTGACAATTTTTTTTTTTTTTTTGTCGGTCGTGGGGCTTGAACTCTGGGCCTGGGCGCTGTCCTTCAGTTCTTCAGCTCAAGGCGAGCGCTCTACCACTTGAGCTACAGCGCCACTTCCAGTTTTCTGGTGGTTTATTGGAGATAGGAGTCTCACGGTCTCTCCTGCCCAGGCTGGCTTTGAACCGCGATCCTCAGATCTCAGCCTCCTGAGCAGCTAGGATTACAGGCGTGAGCCACCAGCGCCCGGCTTTGACCATTTTTTTTAAAGTGAGCTGCATTAACTAGACTTCTAAAGCCAGAGTTCCCCAGTGTGTTCTTTAGGGGTGTGTGTGAGCTCTGCACGTGAATTCTGAGGTGGGTGTGAGCGTTACACATGAATTCTGAGTGTCTCAGGGATGCTCCTTCACTTGGGCCTTGCACCGTGCTCTGCTGTGGCTAGACAGACAGCAGCACGGCATACCAGACTGACTGATGGGAAAGGAAGGGGTGACCGAGGCCTGCACGAGCCAAAATCCTCAAGTGCTTTTGTGGGAGCTAGTAGGCGAGGCAGCAGGTGCCTTTTTCTTCTTCACCCTTTTATTTCCTTGTCTTCTGAAGTGCCTGCTGTGGCTTGAATAGCAACAATGATGTAAATGCACAGTGTCTAGGCTGACCTGGCTCTTTGCGACCCCGCTCCTACCACTGAGGGTGACAGAGTGTGTCCCCCGCTGCTTGGAGTGAGATTGGTCACACACTGGTTCAAGGCTTGTTGGTAATGGCAAGGACATGGCGACCTCCAGCCTGGGCCTGGGGGAGGGCCCTGTGTCCTTGCTCTGGGTTCCACAGTTGGGCCACGTGACAAACATGGTTGCTGCATAAGGCTCCAGTCTCTCTTTAGAACCTGGAGCTTTTTAACTGGCGAGGATGTACGGCTCCACCACTAGTGTTTATTTGGCAGCTGAGCCTTGGCCATATTGCCTCGTGATTACCCTTGGGCAGTGGCTTACTACTAGAGCTTAGTTTTTTTTTTTTAATTTGTTTCCCTCATTTACTTGAGGCTAGATCTATAGTGTGAGTCCCTACATGAGGTTGCAGTGGACCTGTCCATTTTCCTTTTGTGTACCAGTAGGGCAGGATCTCGCTGTCTGAGCTAGTGTAGGAGACCCTGATCTGGTAGAGCACATCCATCCAAGTCTCAGGCCACTGGCTTCAGGCCCCGCCCCCAGGCCTGACCGCCAGGGCTGAGGAGGTCATTCGCACGGCAGGCACCGCAATCGGGGGAAGCTGAGCGACCTGGTGGCTGAGCACCTGGACCACCTGCACTATCTCAACGACATCCTGATCATCAACTGCGAGTTCCTCAACGACGTGCTCACCGACCACCTCCTCAACCGGCTCTTCCTGCCGCTCTACGTGTACTCCCTGGAGAACCCCGACAAGGTGCGCTGCCCTCCTCGCACCTAAGGCTCGCCTTCCTTTTCGTTTCCACACAAAAGAGCCATAAAGGAGAAGGCTAGGATTCCCACCCTGAGCAGGGAGCCCTCCTGAGTTCAGGCTCCCTGCATGCACCCGCTTGCTGATAGTTACCTGAGGGGCCGGATTTGAGAAGGTGGGATGGAGGCTGAGCCTTCAGGGAATGGAAGCCTTGGTTAACCAGTCCTCTGTGGGCACGGGGAGGGTCACATGTTTCCTCCCACTTGGGGGCTGTGGTCGAGGGGGTCTTCTACCCCTTTGACCTGCTCCCACAGGCCCCTGAGCACTTCCCGAGTGGAGTGCTCCCTTGGGGAGGGAGGCCTCTGACCACGCCTCAGGAGGAGCAGAAGCCTCAGGAGGAGGCAGGACAGCCACGGGTCACCTGCAGGGGCTTCACATGAGTGTCAAGGGCTGGCCTTTCCTATTTGGAGGTGGGATGGGGAATTCTTGCCATAGATCAGTAAATACAGCAAAAGAAAGACACAGGCTTAGTGAGCTCTCCAGAGAAGCTCTGGCAGCCCCACGAAGCCTGCGAGCTGCATTTCAAGCCTGGTCTTTTCCCCTGCAAGGTAGTAGCTTCTACTAGGCTCTTTCCTCACTTGCAAAATGGGGTCCAAGAGATCCACACCCCCTTCCCCCATTGTTAACAGTGGATGGAACAGGTTGAGGCTTGAGGGGAGCTGTTTTAAAGCCAAAGGCCCTGAACTGCTCCCTCCTTATATTTTGGAGCTTGCTTCCAGTCTTAGGGACCTCTGCTGTGTACCCTCAGTGCCCAACTGGGGACAGTGGCCTTTCTGGTGACTTAGAATAAGCCCTTCTTGGGTTGCTGTCAAGCGGAAACCAGTGGTAAGGATGTGTCGGGACTAGCAGCAGGAATGAGTAGGTGGCGGCAGGGGAAATCCAGGCCAGAGCGCCTCTTGTCCCTACCAGTAGCTTTGTCCCTACCAGTAGCTTGTGCTCCCTTTGTAACCTGGACCTCTCTTTGCCAGGGAGGAGAACGCCCCAAAATCAGCCTGCCGGTGTCCCTCTATCTTCTGTCACAGGTATGTTTGCTCCCTCGCCAGCACCCCAAACCCATTTGAGGGTGTGTGAGTGTACAGGTTTTGCATGGTCTCTGTGTCTTCCATCTTAAAATGGTCAGAAGAAGGGAGCATTCTGTTTTCTAGCCATAGAGGCGGGTGTACCTTCCTCCTGACGGGATGGAAATTCAGAGAAATGAGAAATAAATCCGGCCCTTGGCTAGTTGATTTTTAACGGAGGCTGAGAGTCTCAAAGCAGCCAAGGCTTGCCCTGCATACCCGGAAGTGGAAGCCTCCTGGCTTTTACTCACTGTATTTTGAAATGAGCCCCAAAGGGCTGGGCCACGATGTGCCACACAGCAATCTTGGTTTAAGAAATGGAGTTGCTCTGAAAGGGTTTGGTTGTGGTTCATTTCCAGATTACCTTCTGCAAGGTGTCTCCTAGCTGTGTCCACTCCCGGATTTGTGCCTCCAGCCCTCCTTAAACAACTCTGCTCCTTTCTGGCAATGATGTACTATGTACAAGAAGGGAAAAACTCCATGGAGACCTCGTTACATAACTTTAAAAACATTTTTATTACTAGCAGTCCAGCCTTGCGGGCCGTCTCATTAGACTGTCAAGTAGTCAAAACGTCCGTCTCATTAGACTGTCAAGTAGTCCAACGCTCAGCTAAGAGCTCCATTTCACTTCTGTGGTGGCTTCAGTATTGATTAGCTTGGATGAGAGTCCAGCCCTCCAGCTGGACCCCCTGTCCTTTTCTGTTTGGAGGGAGGCTGCATCCCACTGGCCTGAGACGAGAGCCTAAGGCCCCACCTCCCCCAGCCACTGGGCCGATTGGGATCCGGATGTGGCCTGACCAGCTCTGGAAGCTATTTGCCCAGAGCTCTGCCCAGTGTCCACTCTCTGAATGTCCTGTGTGCCAGAGCTCAGCTCAGCTCCAGCCTCTCCTGGCAGCCATTTTTACATCTCCCATTGGAGATTCTGGGAGTCTGACAGGACCTGAGCAGGCCGTTCAGCCACAGCAGTCCAGTAGAAAACATCCTGGAGACCTCTCGCACTGCATTGCAGGCATGGCGGGATCTCTGCAGGAGGATGACCGCTAGCCCCTCTGCGTGTCCTCTTAGCGATGGAGCAGTAATACCAGCACCTCCTTACTTCCGTCAGTGTCACGCAGAAAGCCTAGTTTCTCAGTTCTCAAGTGTAGATTCTATGTAAAGGGCTCTTGTAAAGATGGCAAAGTCTTGAGCTCTTCCCTCCCCTCTCACCTGACTTATCCTGTCACCTAAGGGTGGGAAAATACTAGTCAGGTTTCAATCCATGTCCTCCACATGCATGCGCCGGTATCCCCACAAAAAAGTTTTCAAGCACAGCAGGCAAAACCCATGAAATTCACAACTGTGAATTTAGCATGCCAGGTGATGCTGTCTCCCGAAACCAAACAGTGACAGTGTGGCATGGACAGCCAGCTCTGCTCTTCAGTCTGGCATGGCCACACCTCCACGTCAGCAGTGGACAGGGGCAGCTCCCTCCTCTGTCCCTGTCACAAGGCTGAGAACTGGGCTGCCTGTGACCACAGGCAGGAGGTGCTGGCCTCTGTCCGAGAGGGCCTTGGTGGGTGTGCACTGAGTGCTCATGCACCCAACAAAGGATCGCAGGGCACTCTCGCACCAAGGGCAATCATAGATATTTGTGGATTGAATGTGAAGTGTAAAGTGTGGCAGTAATTTGGCCACAGTGGAAATGAGAAGAACCATCATGATCATTGCTAATGTTTGAGTGTGTCTGCCCAGCTCTGGAGGTGAGTTAGTGCTCTGGATCACACTCACTATTTGTATGCACAGACAGGTGATTGATAAGACAGACATACAGACAGACAGTCTGTGCTAGTGAGGACCTCTGGCTGTTTCAAAAACTGCCCCCTTTTTTGTTTATTCTACCTGATTTACATTTGTTTATTTATTTGGACATATTCCTCTTATCCCAACACTAGCAATAGGACCCAAGGGAAGGGCTCCCATGGGCATGCAATCCCAAACCCCAGAGACAACCTTTATTATATATAAAATACCATGCATAATATATGTAATATATGACATACTTTATATACAACATACTTTTTTTTTTTTATTATATATAAAATACCATGCATAATATATGTAATATATGACATACTTTATATACAACATACTTTTTTTTTTTTTTGGTCGGTCGTGGGGCCTGAACTCTGGGCCTGGGCGCTGTCCCTGAGCTCTTCAGCTCAAGGCTAGCACTCTGCCACTTGAGCCACAGCACCACTTCCAGCTTTTATCTGCTTATGTGGTGCTGAGGAATTGAAGCCAGGGCCTCATGCATGCAAGGCAAGCACTCTACCACTGAGCCACCTTCCCAGCCCTACAACATACTTCTTAATAAAAGGGTTTTTGTTTGTTTGTTTGTTTTTTTAAAGCTAAAGCATTAAACCAGCTTTCTTCTTTCCAAGCTCAGGTTTTTGGTATCTCCTCTGCCCCCAGAGACTACTGTCCTAGTGTTCTCTGCCCCCCAGAGGCACTGGTCAAGGTCTGAAGATAATCTTAGTTGTCCTGAGGGAGGGGTGCTCTTGGCCTCCCGTGGGGAGTGGTCAGGGGTGCTGCTGAGTGTCCTGCGATGCAGAGTAGGACAGTCCCCTCCACAAAGCCCCAGTGCCTCATTAGTGCCCAACCCCCACCCTGCTCTCTGCACACTTAAGGCCCTGAGTACCCTGTCTACAGAGCAGGTAGACACAACATGTGCTATGCCCATCTATTGTTATATTTTAAGTCAAGGGAGCTGGTGTGAAGCGGCCAGCTCTGCAGGGAAGTCTGGAGTCCCCTGATCCCTAACACCCCTCCTCTGAGCCTTGGCAACAGAGTGGGGAACGGGCCCATGGACAGCCCAGAGCCTGGTACATCCGTGTGGGCCTCCGGCTACTCTGGCTTTTCTTCTTCAGTTCCCACACCTGCAACACTGCCATGAAATCCCAGTGTGAGGCAGGGACTGGAGGCAGGGACTGGACAGTTTCAGTGACAGACAGGATCTCTAGTGCCTTTCTGTATAGTGGAAGCATTGGGACAAAGCCTTCTGGTCTTAACCATAATTGAGTTTGACGGAAAGAAAGGGGTGTGCTGCTTTGGCTGTTTCTTTCCCACATTTCTCCACTCTGACCAGAGTTGGCTTACCCCAGCCAGAAGGGACAGTCTGGCTCAAATACACTTCCTTCCTCAGATAATCAGCCAGCCACATAGGCAGGAGTCTGGAGGAGAGCTCATTTCTCCCAGTCATGACCTGTCCTCCGGTCCCCTGTAACCCAGCCCGGGTGTTTCTGATCAGCATGGGAAGGCATGGGGAGATTGCAGTCTGGAATACACGGGCCCCTCTCTCCTTTGTCCCCAGGTCTTCCTCATTATACACCATGCCCCGCTGGTGAACTCGCTCGCTGAAGTCATTCTGAACGGCGATCTGTCTGAGACATATGCTAAGCCTGCACAGGACATTCAGAGGAGTTCTGTAAGTCTGCCTTTGAGGATGTGATAAGCCATTCATGACTCCTTTTGTTCATCGATGAAACACTAAATCCGATACTGACGTTCTGCTTATACAGCAGTGACAAGATGCCTAAGCTGCTCTGGGATCCAAGGAATAGATCTGTGTGCGAAAGTGCAACCCTGGAGCTCTGGGTCAGGGGTCAGCAGTGGATTTGACTGTGTGTTACTGTCAGGCTGTGTCACTGGCAAGGCACAGGTCTGCAGAGATCAAGCAGAGACCGTCTGGGAATGATGGGGGGCAGAGGGTGCGTGTGTGTGGTGGTGTAAATAGCTCTTACCTCCTAGGCCCTACCCGACCTGCAGTTCTGCAGGAGGGCAGGTGTGGTATTGCCAGGTCTTCATCATTTCCAGAGAAGCTGTTGTTGTTTTGTTTTGTGTTGGTATTAGGGTTGAATTTTGGGCTTTGTGCTCTTGCTTAGGTTTTTCACTCAAGGCTGACACTCTACCAGTTAGTGGTTAATTAGAGATTAGTCCCACACACTTTTCTGCCTGAGTTGACTTCCAACTCTGATCCTCACATCACAGCCTCCTGAGCTAGATGTACAGGCATGAGCCACCAGTAGCTAGAAGAAATCTGTATTTTTATGTCCAGTCTCTGCAGTTTTAGATTATCACTGAACTATAGAGGAGGTGGAACCTGTCTGTGTGTCTGTGTCCTGTGGGACCTTGGGTTGCACTTTGTACACTGATGAGGGATGTCCCTGATGGCCAGGACTATGACCCCCCTTCCCTCCCCCGCCCTTCTCCATACACTGATGAGTGATGTCCCTGTGTTTCTTCCCCCTTCACAATCTTCCCCACCTCCACCCTGCTCTTCCACGTGTCCCCTGGGCTATCCTGCTGCAATTACTCCTGCCACCATCCTGCCCTTCTGTGGTATTTTGAGCTCCAGGCTTCATGGTACTGACCCAACACACTCATCTTCCACCAGTCCTGTGTTTCTCCATCCCTATGTATGTACCCACACCTACAACCTACAAGGCCTAGGCCTGCTTCTCCCATGTCAGAGAGCTCATCCCTCTACCCTCCTGTGGCCAGCACGATGTCTATTGTTAAATTGGCTACAGCCTGGACTTGGCATATGTGTCAAGATGATCCCAGAGTGTTTGATAATGCTGTCTCTCAGCAGCCAGGTGTTCAAGCTGGGCCGTGGACCAGTGCCAGTGTGTGTGTGTGTGTGTGTGTGTTTGTGGAATGTGATCCTACAGACAAGGCCATCATTGCAGGGATGCAATACCCTGCTCTTCTGGTATTTCAGGTGTGTAGCTGGCTAGCCAGGCCATTTTGCTATTGGAGGGAGGTTCCCGGAAACCTTCTGTCCTTGGTGGCATTGGTTGGTTGGGCTGAATTCAAAGGAGTCCTTTCATGCCTAGTCTGATCTTGGTTCATTTCAAACCCTTTCTTTGGGTTCTTTGTGGGGATATACCAAATCATTGTCTCTAGTGTATCACTGGTGTGTTACAGCCCCAGAGAAGGTGGATGTGGAACAGATAAATGTCCCACCTCCAGATTAATGCACCGATAAATGTCCCATCTCAAGTCTTCCATGTGCTCGGAGAGAAGGAGAAGTGTTTGTGAGAGGATTTGGCCTGGAGGTTCAGTGACCAGTGTTGAACTGGAACGAAGTCTCCGGGCTCCTGCTTGCAACAGCGCATGGTCTGGGCAGGGAGTGGTTGACTGGGTGTTTATTGGGCTAAAAGTATTATTCCTCTGCAACTTCTTAAGCCAGCACTGCTAAATGAGTGCCAGGTCAGACCTCCCACATGCCCTCCCGTTCAGGAGACCTTGGACAAGGTACTTTACCCCACTTGGCAAGCATAGCAAGCCCGACTCTGGAGGCCATTGGTAAGGGTGTAGAGAAAATATATTTTGGCCCATCTGTAATCCCAGCTAATCAGGAAACAGGCAGAAAGATCTCAAGTTTGAGGTCAGCCCAGATGAAAGACAATGGCAAGATCTTTCCCTTTTCTCAAGGGCAAAAATAATCAAAGACCTGGGCAAGAGTTTGTATGACACTGGGAGCTAGTGAATCTTGGCTGTGATTCTAGATACTCAGGAGGCTGAGATCTGAGGATCCTGGTTCAAAGCCAGCCAAGGCAGGAAAGTCCGTGAGACTCTTACCTCCAATTAACCACCAGAAAACCGGAAGTGGCACTGTGATTCAAGTGGTAGAGTGCTGGCCTAGAGCTAAAGAACACAGGGACAATGCCTAGGCCCAGAGTTCAAGCCCCACAACTGACAAAAAAAAAAAAAAGAGTTTGTATGCCATCACTTGACAGGCAGCATTTGCCTGGCAGGTGCAATCACTGGGGGAGAGGGGAGAAGAGCAATCTACTCTTAAGTATCCAGAACCTGCCTGGTAGGTTGCTTGCTTCAGTTGCCAAATTGCCTATTTTCTGAATTGCCAAATATTATTTATGTATGTATTTATTTATTTTAGTGCTGGTACTGGGCTTGACCTGTCCTTTAGCTTCTTCACTCAAGGCTGGTGTTATACCACTTTAGCCACATTTCTACTTTTGGCTTCTTGGTGGGTAATTGGAAATAAGAGTCTAATAGACTTTTCTTTGGGGGCTGGTTTCAAACTGTGATCCTCAGATTTTAGCCTACTGAGTACTGGGATTACAGGTGTAAGCCATTGGTGCCCAGCAACACCTATTTATTTATTTATGTTTACTAAGATAGTATGGATTTGCATGCAACTGTAAGGAATGATGCAGAATCTGTGTCAGAGTTGGCCCATGGTGGCGTCTTGCAGGACCGTAGCTGGATACAGACTGGAGCAAAACCACAGTATAGGTCACTGGCTGCCTCTCAGCTGAACCTTTTCATCAGATGAAGGGTTCAGACATTTTCCTTTCTCCTGATGGCCTCTTGCAGGGATGGTCTCACCTCCACTATGGGACCCACAGTGGCTGTGGCAAATGCCTGAACTGAGATCTAGACTCTGGCCTGGAAGGAGCGGCTGTGGCTCAAGTGAAAGTGTCATTTGTCAGTTCCCTCCTTCCAGGGACAGCCTTTCCACTGCCATCAAAGATGCTTGTGTTCTGAGGCCTGCAGCTGAAATCCGGGAAGGGCTTGGACAAGGTGCTTGTCATCTGCAACTTGTTTGACAATAGTCCTGTATGATTTACCTTCCTTCCCTGTGAGTGAGAACAGTTCTCCTATTGTTTCCTGCCTGGCTCGGATGTGGTTGATCAAACTTGTTTTAAGTTTCTTGGTCTTTTTTAACCTACTTTCTCCTTCCTGTAATATGTAGATAAGTTACTGGTATTACTTCATTTTTACTAGCAGACTCTCACCAAACCAACCAAAATTGGAGAGAGAAGCAAAGAGGAGAGCAGAGTTACTCAGAAAGACTGTAATTTAGGGTTAAACTTAACACAGATCAGCATGGTCAGATAAGCATCTAATTGAAATTCATCTGTGCATTAAAATCATGTGGTTCCTGCTTAAAGGCAATTCTTGTTGCCAGCTTAATGTGGGACAGAGTGCTTCTTGTGGGGAAGCCTCAAGAAGCTAATATGGGAATGTTGTAAAATGGATATAGATTAAAATTTGGGGTTTGCATCATTCGTTACCTGTGGGTACTTTATTTTATTTTTACATTTTGTGCCAATACTGGGACTTGAACTCAGGGCCTGGATGCCATCCCTTAGTTTTTTTGCCTGAGGCTAGCACTGTACCACTTCAGCCACAGCTCTACTTCCGGCATTTTGCTGCTTAAGTGGATATAAGAGTCCATGAAATTTCTTGCCCAGGCTGGCTTCAAACTGTGATTCTCAAATCTCAGCTTCCTGAGTAGCTAAGGTTACAGGTATGAGCCTGCAGCACTCAGCTACTATTTGTATTTTTTATTTTTTTGGAGGCAGAGTCTTGCTATGTAACCCTGACTAACCTTGAACCTGAGACCTTCCTGCTTTCACCTTGAGTCCTGGGATTTCAGGCACGTGTCATCAAGCCTGTCAGGATCCTTTTCTATAGAGAAGTTTTTGTTTTGTTTTGTTTTGTTTTTCTGTCCCAGGACTCTAAAAGAGTTTCCTTGGTTTCTGTATTCGTGCCCACCTTCCCCCTGGCATATGTCTATAGTGCACCTGTGCTCAGAAGTCGGCTGGCACACCACTGAAGTGTGCCCCCTGCACTGGCTTTCCACCCACCCCCATGAGAGGTGGGGATGGCGTCATTGTGGGGCTTGCCAAGGTGCTCAGGAGCTGCCAGTGTGGGAATGACATCAGTTGGTGTGGTGGCTCTGAGTGCCTCTGGAGCTGCCTGCTCCAGGTCCTCGGTGGAGGGGGTGTGTCAGAGCCCATGCTTGGTGCTGTTTCACCTGCCACCATAGGAGGCAGCCTAGTACTCTGAGCCATTGAGGTGTCTCTGCTGCCCGCTGCTCATCTTCTAGGATCCCAGGGCTGAGTTGCCACCTCCAGGCCTCTGCCTTTCTTGTGCTCTTCTCCCCATGTGCTTGTGTTCATTCGTGCTCATGTTCACTTGTGCTTGTGTTTGCACGGGCTCATGTTGGCGGTGAGAGTTCCATGCTGGGCGTGCTGCTTATTCTGCACCTGGCACCCAGTGTGCATGTCATAGATGCTACTGTAACAGTAATCCCAGCCTCTGAGGCTGTGCAGTGCCCTCACCCGCCCAGTTTGAGGCCTTCCTCCCTTGGCTGCTGAGCCGGGGGCTGGACTGATGGAAACACACAGTGCTTCCCTTGGAGGCACCTCCAAGGCAAAGCTGTTGTCTCATCAGGGACAATAGCAGCGTTGGGTGACGTGGAACTTCACATACCGTGTGCCCTCTGTGCCTGCTGACTTACCCACCAGGCTTAATCCCAGGAAGTGCAGATCCATCACTGCTGGCTGGCTGGCTGGCAGCAGGTGGTATAAGGACTCAGGGACAGAAGGGCTTCCTGTCTCAGAGTACAGATGTTGACCTGGATGTGCCCGTTGCCTCTTGGGGTTCATTCTCAGTCCCCTCTCTGATGTGCTGTTGTGCATTCCGGATGTGTTTGGACTTTGTTTCACTGGCTCGTGTAACACGCCCCCATGCGTCACCCACGTTCGTCTGTCTGATGTCTGCTTGCCCTGTGGTGATCCCTCAGCAGAGCTGTGTGAACGCCAGGAGCCTGCGGAGCCTGGGAAGGTTTCTCCTCAGCCTGGTTTTTCTCGTCACGACGCTCCTGCCCATCCACGCAGATCCCCAGGGCCAAGCACTCTCCCCTTCCCTTTCCAGCCCACTGTGGCCACCAGTTTCTTTCTCCCTATTCCGGTTCTTTATTTGATTTTCCCCGAGGGGGTCTGCCTGGTGCCCTCAGGCCCTTTTTCCTGGTCTCTTAGCAGCCACTGCTTTCCTTCCTCCCCTAGGGAGGAGTTGAGAAGTCCGTGAGGGGAGCACAGGTGCACAGCACTGTCCCCCCCCCCCCCTCGGCTGCTCTGTCGTGAGCAGTGTCTTTTAATGGCTGGCTGGAGAGGCCACACAGTGGCCCAGTACCACACTGGCCTCCCAGAGGCTCACACTGCTGCGGCGGCTGCTGCCTGGGGAACTGGCCAGTACTTCTGTCCAAGGACACTGCCACTGTCACCAAGGACACCAGCTCCAGGTGACCCCATGAGCTGTGGTCTTAGCCTGAAAGAATGCTCCTGGGTTCTCAGAGGCCAGAATTACTCACCCCATGTTTCTGACAAGGTTGATGAACTGCTCTGGGGATTGGAGCTCTCTGATGGCCCGAGCCCTTTGTCTTTCTCTCAGTTCTGCCATTTATCCTGCACAGTGGAGCCCACATAGTTTAGGCAAGGATTTCTACACCATCTGTTGGACTTGTCTGTCTTCAAGGGTTGGTCTAGGTTTTCTGCGTTTGGCAGCTGGCTCTTGGCATGCCATGTGTTCAGATTCTCCAGGAGAAGGCAGTGATGGGGGAAGGGAGTCACTGTATCCTGCAGTCCTCCCTTGCTGGGTTGAGGTTGGGGGAGGAGCACACAGGGCTGCCTTCGGTCAGGATCCCAAGCGGGCTCTGATGGATATGTCTGTCAGGCATTGCGTGCTTGGCCTGCTTCTGATCCAGGTCCTGGTCACTGGCATCTGCAACGCGCCCTCCGCCTTTCCTGAGCAGCGCTCCCCCATCTCAATTTATCTGTCATCTTTGTGGTGGAATAGTCCAAAGTGGGTAAATAAAAATGAATGTTTGCATTTGGATGCTAATTCACCTCCCAATTGGGTTTTGTTGGGAGCACTATTGAAATTGATTTGTGTGCCTGAACATTCTCCACTTATTGGCAACATGCAGTGGCCCCCACAATATAATTGGTGACTCTTTGGGGGTAAATTCATAAGATAGATAATCTATATCAGGATAATGGAAAAGTTTATTCTAAAACTTTTTTTTCTTAATGACAAAATGATGTCTGAACATTATCCAGTCTGCAAAGAGAAGAGCACTACCATCAAAATCCTGCCCTAAACAATCAATTTCCTTTGTCTCTGCTCCTCTCTAAACACCGTCTTCGTGCATATATATATATATATTTTTTTTTCTTGTCCCAGCTCCTGGGATGACAAGCCTGTACCTCTGCATACAGAAGCTTGTAGTTAGACTTTAAAATGAGCACTAAATATGGAACTGAATCTCTGCTCCTGGAGAAACACTTATTTTTGTTTTTTAATTTTGGGCAATATAGCATGTCTATTTTAGGTTTGGAAGCAAAACTCCAAACCACCTGACTCCCTTCCTCTTGAGAACGATCACAATGCACTCAGAAATGGCTGGCTCCAGCCAGGCAGGGAACAATCAGATGCCAGTGTGGCTACCAGGCTGGTGGGCTCTGCTCCCCTCCCAGTACCGTGTCTGCCTGCTTTGCTCCAAGTAAAAAGAACCAACAGATTTCTGGGCCCTGTGCATTCCACTTGGATAGAGGAAAGTTGGGCCAGGCCTCTGCAGGGGAGACAGACTCCTGTGTATGTGTGTGAGGGGGAGTGGGGAGGGGAGGGTTTAGTGCGGAGGAAGCTGGTAAACACCCAGTGCTCCCTTGAGTACCCAGCTGGGAGAGTGTTCAAAAACAATGACTGGGCACTCAGGTCATCCAGGGCTCTCGAGCCTCTGCTCAGACTCTGATTTGGGAGAAGAAGAGAGGCTCCTGCACTCCGGGTTCTTTCCCTCCCCCATAGACGATGGGTACTGTTTCCATTGCCTTCCTGAGCAGATGGTGAGGACTACTGTGGTGGCCTGGCTGCTTTGAACCTGGGCTTTGAAGACAAGCAAACTTGGTCAGATTCTGGCTCTTGGGCTCAATAGCTACAGACTCTTCTGAGCCTGATTCTCTCAACTCTAAAATGGACCCATATTCTTATATATCAAGGCTGTAAGAAAGACAGAGGAATATGGGAAATGAACCCTAATAATGGGACTTTTCTTTGCTCTTTGAAGCCTCTCTGTTTAATAGGGAGAACATGGTTTGGAGTGAGCTGGTGTTTGCTCACTGCCAGTACTTACCTGGCTCCCCTTCTAAGGAGAGCTGGCATGGGAGGGACTGCATGCAGTGTGCCATGCAGTCATTCTTATCCCTTTAATAGCAAAGCATGCTGGTGTTCTCTTCCTGAACCAATGCACAGTTATTCCTACAATAGCTTATTTGTAGCTCAGTGGTAGACTGATTATCCAGCATTGAACTTTAGATCCTGAGTTCTTCCCTAAGACCACCACCTCAATCAATCAATCAACCAATAAAGAAAATGAACTTAATGTAAATTTAAAGTTAATGATAGCATTGATCCACAGTATGTGTGGACCTTTGACTGGTAGAATCATACAGTATGTGGTCTTTTACATCATCCATTAAAAGAAAACTCATTCCTGTTGTAGCATATGTGATTACTTAATTCATTTTGATTTTCAGGTAATACTCTTATGTGAAGAACACTCCATGTTTTTCTCTCATACTCAGATTGTTGTTACACAAGTGACAAAAGTTTTCATTTTTGGGGCAGGTAGTTGGGAGTGGAATTGCTGGGTCAGTACAGTAAGTCCATGTGCAATAAAGCATGTAAGACACTGCTTGACTTTTCCAGAGGAGCCAAACTGCTTTATACCACACACAGCAGCATATTTGACTAAGTTTTTGGCAATATGTATGTTCTTCAACAATGACAAATGTTTATTATTTTTTTTAAAGTTAAGTCTAACAGCAAAGCCAGACGTGCAGGTGGAATGTCAGTTTGGATCCCATCCACTCCCATCCTGGCTATGTTGACCTCAGAGCTTGGCTTCTGCACTGTAATGTGGGGACACTGGTGCTGCCTGGTTGGGTACTATAGATGTGCAGTGAGAGCTCTCTGGAAGAGCAAGAGCAGGAAACTAGTATTTGGGAGCACAGCTCTGGTGGATGAAAGACAACATTTTGGTTGCAGGACTGAGTGGTAAGGGTGGCTGGCGTGGGCACACCTGTAATCACAGCTACTCAGGAGGCTGAGATCTGAGGATTGAGGCTCAAAAGCTGCATAGGCAGAAAAGTCCAATTAGCTGCTACGAAGCTGGAAGTAGAGGTGTGGGTCAGGTGATAGAGTGCCAACCTTGAGTAAAAGAGCAAAGGGACAGCTGAGTTCAGAACTCAGCACTGGCATAAGAAGGGAGGGGGCAGCTGGTCATTTGATGGTGACAGTGATGTTGGTCATCTCAGCGCTAAGCCAGGGCCATGGTTTGAGCATGACTTCCCGGGCGGCCTCCTAGCATCCAGGGAGAGCCCTGCCTTCCACTTCATCTGTTGCTTTTCTTGGACTGTCCTAGACCAAGCCCAGCATCCGGTGCTTCATTAAACCCACCGAGACGCTTGAGCGGTCCCTTGAGATGAACAAGCACAAGGGCAAGAGGCGGGTGCAAAAAAGACCCAACTACAAAAATGTTGGGGAGGAAGAAGATGAGGAGAAAGGGCCCCCCGAGGATGGCCAGGAAGACTCCGAGAAGGCTAAAGGTACAGAGGGTGGTTCCAAAGGCATGAAGACGAGTGGGGAGCGTGAAGGTGAGTGCACCCAAGAACAGCACCCTGCACCCCGCCGCTGTAGCCACCGGCTGCCGTCTGTGTCCCCACGTGTACCCTGTGGGTGCTTCCGCTCGTGCCCGCTGCCCACCAGTGTACCTCACCTAGACAGCACAGCCATTCAGAGGCAGCTGGGGGCGGTCCAAGCAGGTCTAGGGCCAAACCTATCCTGGTCAGGTGGGGGCCTGGAGCAAGGCTTCCTGTCAGTATGAAGAGGGCCACAAGGGCCCCCACTTTGTGGTGCTCTGCAGAGAATTAATGAAAGAATACACCTGCTCTGCCCAGCACAGAGCTTGGCCTGTACTGCATGCTCTCTAGGTATTTATTATGCAACTACCTCTCATTATTACCGTCACCATCTTCACTCATCTTTATTGATAGGCACCCAGGCACTGTGGGAAGAGGCCCACATTTAATGAAATTACCTATTGGAACAGATCTGGCTTTCATGGAGTCAGGTGCACACAGTCCCCTGCTTCCCCCGTGTGTGAGGGAGGCACACTTGTGCAGCTTAGGCACACTAGGTTGGCAGGGCCCTTCCTTCCTTTTTTGCTCTGCCTGGGATCCACAGCCTCACATTCTGAAACGATACTGCCTGGACTAGATAGCATTTGTGCTGGCAGGAAATGTACTTGAACCAGCCAGATGCCCAAGTCATGGACCAGGCTAACAGCCACACACGGTACCTCTGGCTGCAGCTTGGGGCAGGGGGAATGGTGGTGGTGGTGGTGGTGGTGGTAGTGGTGGTGGTGGTGATGGTGGTAGTGGTGATGATGTGGCAAAGGGGCACCAAGCATACGTTGGAGGTCTAGCCACCCACAATGGGACAGGTGCACCCTCTCCTGAGCAGCCTGGCTATGGCCTGCGGGGCTGTGGGGCGCTAAGCTGGTAGTAGTGAGTCTGAAGCCTCATCGCAGGGCTTCTGAAGTTGAAGCACAGACTGGGGTACCCTTTGCCTCTAGACAAACCAGGACATGCCCCTGCTGTCCCCATTCTCAGGCCCTGTTTAGGATCTTCTTTTTGTCAGTCATTGGGCTTGAACTCAGGACCTGGGAGCTGTCCCTGAGCTTTTTCGCTCAAGGCTAGCACTCTACCACTTTGAGCCACAGCACCACTTCCGGGTTTCTGGTGATTAGGTGGAGATAGGAGTCTTACAGATTTTCTCTCCAGGGCTGGCTTTGAACTGTGATCCTCAGATCTCAGTCTTCTGAGTAACTGGGATTACAGGCATAAGCTAATGGTGCCTGGCTATTAGGATTTATTTCCTTAGCCCATGTCAGCAAATGCCATGCTTACATGTCAATAAATGTGACCAAGACTTGGTCCTGGTGCCTCATAGTCTCTTCTTGCTGCTGACTTCCCTAGCCTGCTTTGATTCCTGTTCAGTAAGCAGTAAGCATTTTGGCCTAGGAGCTCATTTTTGGCCTGAGCAACCTTTGCCAAAAGCTGTCCCTTTGGTGGGGAAGTTGAGGGACAAACACAAGATAGGCAAATCATACTCGTGTGCTTCTGCGAGTCATTTTATGGTGCTTCTTAACCAGGAAGAAAGGTGGTGTGTTTAAGCTCAATTTAGTCAGTGCGTGGCCACGCAGGGGGCAAAGTGGACAGCTTTACTTCATCTTGTACACTGTGTTCTTGTCCATTGTGTCTTGGAAAGATGTGCCTATTTTCATTCCAGCCCTTTTAAGGGCTGCTGTCTAGCCAGCCTTTAGCTGTGACTAACCGAAGCATGGACAGGGCAGGCTTGGCCCCAGAGGATCTCCAGTGAGCCCAGTGTCCCTGTCCCAGGATGCAGGGGCTGCGGGCCAGCTCAGCAAGGCTGCTGGGTTGGGATGGGCTCCCTGGTGCTGAGCCCTGCTTCCACTTGCAGGGGATGGGGCAGGGAGGCGGGTCATCCAGCTCCCAAAGCAGGGCCCTAGAATTTCCCAAGGGGCTTGTTTTTGGGCCTGTTGCTGACCTCAGAACTCAGACAAGCATGGCTTTCAGTGACACTCCCCCCCCCATCCTTGTCATTTCTTGAATATATTAATCAGTGTAAAACATGATGGGCCTGTCATCTTCCTACATGGCTCCACAGCTACGTACGCAGCCGTTGTGGGCCGCATGCTGCCAGGCAGCAGCACTGCATTTTGGAGCTTTCTGAAATATCTCTGATCTCTTGGCCTTAGGCTTGAGGTGCAATGGAGTGTTGTCTCCCCCACATCCCTCTAGCCCCCCACCTCCACCCCTGAGCTGTTCGTTCCTGTGTGGCTGTTAGCCACACCTGCATCAGGGCCCTGTGGCCGATCCTTTAATCATGTGAGGCGCCAGTATCAGAAGCCAGGGCATGGGTATCGAGCCACTGTGCTCTGGGTGCTCCCTCCTGGGAGACGCCAGGCACCTTCCCCCGTACTGTGTTGAAGTGAATGATATTCAGCCCGTTTGGGACAGACTCTTATGTAAAGAGGTGCTGGCACTAATCTTTCCCTACCTCTGCTACCTCCATTCCTGTAATACACTGTCTACTTAAAAAGATAAAGTGAGTCAGGCACTGGTGGCTCACACCTGTAATCCTAGTGACTCAGGAGGCCGAGATCTGAGGATCGCAGTTCGAAGCCATCCTGGTCAGAAAAGTCCCCATGAGACTCTTATCTCTAATTAACCACTCAAAAACTGGAAGTGGCACTGTGGCTCAAGTGGGAGAGTAGTAGCCTTGAACACAAAGAGGCTCAGGGATAGCACCCTGGCCCTGAGTTCAAAACCAACCAACCAAAAAAAAAAAAAAAAGAGTAAGCTGGGTGTAGTTGCACCAGCCTGTAATCCCTGCCCTTGAGAGACAGGAAGCATTCTGGGCTTGGTTATCAATCTATAGACTACCTACAGATTGACAGATATAGATATAGCTATCAAGACCCTATCTCAAAAGAAAAAAGAAAAACTTGGTCACAAGACAGTTTTGCAATGACCTGTATTGAATATGGCATTAATGTTTTGTGGGTTTTTTTTAAACAAATACAGCACCCAGAAATTACACCTCCTCCACATTTAAGCACAGACAAGAAAGTTGTGTGAGATGAGTGTGTGCCCCTAATCCATCTACTCCCATCCCTAGGGTGCAAAGAAATGTGCTCTCAGTCAGTCCCAAGAATAGGTGATTCATTCTGAAACCACAAAAATCACAGGGCCCTAAGTCTGCCGAAGTGGAATGTTAAAAGGAACAAGAGGGGTGTCAAAGCCTCTGTAACCAAAGAAGCGCAAGCTCCGCCCAGGAAGCAGACATGCCAGGGAGTGTGCAGTCTCCCACTCTGCTCGCCCTTCAGTCTGGAAGGACAGCCTCCTTTTGATTTACTTAGAGCCGTAACTTAATCAGCAGACCTGAGGCTAGAGATTGAATCTTTCAAACCAATTGGGATGGGCTTTTATTTTTTGCCTTTGGAATGAGTAGGTATTCATTGCTCAGCCTGAGCCTGACCTTCAGAGACTGTTCTTTATCTGGAATTCCAGCAAAGGTATGAGTAAAGTCAGCAGAGATTGAGGGATCCCTGGGAGTTTAGACCTCCCGCTTTGCTTTTGAACTCAGGGCTTTGCACTTGCTGGGCAGGTGCTCTACTTACTTGAGCCACACCCCCATTCCTTTTTGCTCTTATTCTTTCCAGTAAGGTCTTACTTTTTGCTGGGGCTAGCTTGACTATGATCCTCCTATTTAGTGATCCTCCTATTTATATTTCTTGCATAGCTGGAATGAAGTGCACACTCTTATGCCTCACTTTTTATATTGGTTGAATGGAGGTCTTTTTTTTTTTTTTTTTTTGTCGGTCATGGGGCTTGAACTCTGGGCCTGGGCACTGGCCCTGAGCTTTTCAGCTCAAGGCTAGCACTCTACCACTGAGTCACAGCACCACTTCCAGTTTCTGGTGGTTAAGTGGAGATGAATCTCATCAATAACTTTCCTGCCTGGGCTGGCTTTGAACTGCAATCCTCAGAGCTCAGCCTCCTGAGTAGCTAGGATTACAGGTGTGAGTCAATGGCGCTTGGCAGGGTCTTAAACTTTTTGCAGGCTATTCTTTTTTTGGGGGGGGGGTCCGGTCGTGGGGCCTGAACTCTGGGCCTGGGCACTGTCCCCCAGCTCTTCAGCTCAAGGCTAGCGCTCTACCACTTGAGCCACAGCACACCACTTCCGGCTTTTTTCTTTTTGCTTATGTGGGGCTGAGGAATCGAACCCAGGGCCTCAGGCATGCAAGGCAAGCGCTCCACCACTGAGCCACCTTCCCAGCCCTGCAGGCTATTCTTGAGACCCCGTTATTCCACTGTCAGCATTCCAAACAGCTAGGATTATAGGTGTGAACTATAGTATCTGGGTTTTCCACCCCCCTCTTTTCTTTAAAAAAAAGTCTCAACTACAATGAAATGGAACCTAGCCTCATATATCTTGAAACACCTGTCTGTATTCAGATTGAGGGACTTACTGTTGGGAAGTTGGAGTCTAAATCCTGGCCCTGTCCTTGACTAGCTGGGTGACTCAAGGCAAGTTCTCTTCCCTCTGCCTCATCTACCTGGAAGAAGGCCTTCCTGAGGTCCAGTCCTTGTGTTGGCATGATGAGAATCTCCACACTGCAGCATTTAGCTTAACATGAGAGCACCAAGTAGTAGCTGAGGCCCTCGGTGGAGGGCAGGACCCGTTTTTCTAGTAATGAGGGAGGTAAGTGTGTGTTTGTGAATGGTGGGAGAGGTGAAGGAGAGATGTGGGCTGTCAGCTTCTAGTGCCTGTAATCAGATGCAAAGACAGATTGAGGTAAACAAGGATGTATCCTCTGACAAATGCCTTGCCCAGAAACCCACTCCAGTTCAGTCTCCTGCAGTGTGGTAGGTGACTGTAATCTAAGGGCAGGAGCCTGCAAATCCCTAGCATATTCCATCCTTGCTGCATTACCCACACCTTGCAACTGGCTTCCAAAGCCAGTCACAGCCTGGCCACACCTGAGTTCCTGGCAGCTCCCGGCAGCTCCCTTCCCCTTCGCTTAAGTTCCTACAAAGGCTTCTCTCCTGCCTTCCCCTGCTGTCAGAGAAGACAGGACACCTAAATTTGGAGGTCATGCCTGTTGCTTCTCTGACCAAAGAGGAATCACATTTGAATGAATGGCATTCTAGGCTGGTCAAGGTGTGAAGGTGATTGCCTTCTGGAATGTAGCAAGGGCCCAAAGGTGATGTCCTTGACGGCTAGCAGGAGGTGTGGCTTTGCAAAGTGTAAACAGCTTCAGAATACTTCTGATGGATTTGTCTTATTAACCACACATCACGCCTTGTAAGCGACTTCAATCATTTGGGAAGGAAATATGGCACCCATAAAGTAAACTACCTTTTTAAAACCACGTATAATGCAAATGAAAGCAATTTGTGTTTTGTTGTCAAAGGCCGAACCACATGTCTAGACGTTGCCAAGATGAACAGCAAGTCTTGTTTCTCCCTCTGCGTGGCACTGGCATTTAGGTCCTGCTGTTGAACTTGACATGGCAGGAGCGGTTTCTGCGTGCTTCATCTTGCACATGAATCTGTAAATCTGGCTCTGTGCGGCTCTGAGTTTAGCCAGTCTCTACGTTTGCTTGCAGAGATCGAGATGGTGATCATGGAGCGGAGCAAGCTCTCAGAGCTGGCTGCCAGCACCTCGATGCAGGAGCAGAACACCACGGATGAGGAGAAGAGCGCAGCCGCCACCTGCTCTGAGAACGTGCAGTGGAGCAGGTAAGCTCTAGGGTAGAGTCGGTAGGCCTGCCAAATTGGGTTCTGCTCAGCCTCAGAGAGGACCACCTGTCAGCCGGCCATCAGCTGTTCCAGGGCCTCTTCATTCCAGGGCTGTTTCCTCACCTGTCATGTGTTCCACCTACACAGACCCCCACAGGGACCTCTCCTGTGGGAGCTCCCGAGTGTGCCCTAGTACCACCAAGGGCAGGAGGGGGAGAGAGAGAATGAGAATGTACATGCGAAATGCCATGTTTTGTTTTCCTGAGTCTGGTTTATTTCGCTTACTGTGAGGATAGCCAGTTCTATCCTTTTCCTGGGAATGATATAATTTCATTCTTCCTTATGTGAATAATATTCCATTGTGTATATGGACCACATTTTCTTTCTCCTTTTATTAGCTGATAGGTGGACACATAATCTGGTTCCATGGCGTGGCTGTAGGGAATAGTGCTGCTTTACACATGGGTGTTTAGGCGCCTCTGCCGCAGGCTGGCTTGTATTTCTTCAGATCTGTGTTCAGGAGTAGTATCATTGGATCATAAGGCAATTCTTAGTTTTTTGGGGAAATTCCACTCTGATTTCCATGGTGGCTACACTAGTTTACATTCCCATCAACAGTGTGGAAGCAGCGTCCCTCTTTCTCCTGCCCGCTCACTTGAATTACTTCTGTGTTATTGATGATGGCCATTCTGATTGGGCTGAGGCAGAATCTCAATGTAGATTTGATTCGCATATCCTTTACGGCTAAGAATGTTGAATATTTCTTCATGTGTTTATTGGCCATGTGAACTTCTTTTGAAAATTGCTCAGTTCATTTGCCCACTTATTATTGATGAGGCTATTTGTTCTCTTGGTGTTTGTTTTAGCTTTTTATATTTCCTTGTCAGATGGGTATTTTGTTCTGAGGGTACATTACGGAGTTGAGGATTCAGAGCGGTGTCCATCTCCACTGTTACTCCTCGTGGACAGCCCACACCACAGCGCTCTGTGCACCCTTCTGTGTGCCTGGGGGCACTCTCTGGCATGCTTTGCTTTCTTAGCCTCAACCTGGTTCTCAGAAGCAGCAGCCACAGATGACCACAGGATCTCAGCCTCCTTCTCTGTTCTGTGCATGTCCCACTAGCCTGTGTTGAGGTCTTTCCAGCCAGGTCTTGCCTGGAAGGGCAGCATTTGGGATGTGTGGTTTCTGATGCTGCCAGACAGTGTTTAGCTCTTAGCCACCAAGCTCTGGAGGTGAGACACCTTGCTATCGATTCTTATGGTCAAGGAACATTGGCCCAAGCAGCTGCCGGGCCATGACCTGTCAAAACATAACCGCGAAGTGACCTTGGAACATTAAAGCTAGCAGTGAGACAGCAGCTGCCAGGTCCTGGCCCTTCTCCCCTTCTCAGCGTCCAGCCTCCACCAAGTGACTGCCAGTCGGCCGCGCCCCTGAGTCTCCTCAGTCACCTGCCTGCTTCTGGTGCTTTCATACTTGGGAGACAGGTACTAGCCAGAGGGTTTGCAGCTAAGAGGAGGCCAAATCAGAATTAGGTCCCAAGCAGTCTGGCTCTAGGGTCCTTGATCTTCTTTGTCATTGTTTCTGTTTTTTGCTTGTTGTTGTTGTTGTTGTTTTCACAATACTGGGTTTTGAAGGACTTATACTTGCTAGATAGGCATTCTGCCAATCATGCCATACCTCCCTTCCTTCTTGATGTAGTTATTTTTCGTGTATGGCCTCTTATTGTTTTCCCCAGGCCAGCCTAGTCTGCAGTCATCCTGTTTTGACATCTTATCTAGCTAAGGTGATGACAGGCACCTTCCAGCATGCCCAACTTACTAGTTGGGATGAGGGTCTCTTAACTTTTTGTCCCCTGGTAGCCTTGAACTATGATCCTCCCACCAAGAGCTGGGACTTACAGGTATGAGCTATTATGTCTGGCCTTGGGGCCCACATTCTTAAACTTGCTTATGTTATTATTTCTGACTTATTATGTTGTTGTCTCACGCTGCCCTCTTTTGCTCATTCTCTTGTGGCACCCCTTTAAGTGATTATGTGTATCTACCTGTTCTTTGCCAGATGGCATGGGAGTGTGAAGAGCAAGGCTTTCATATTGTTGACCCCCCCTGAATAGATAAGTGATTGTTGAGTGAATATGTGATCTATTTCATTGGTCAGTTTCCCTCCATAGACATTTTCCATTTGTGTTAACTGCCCCTGTGCTAACTCTCTGAAGCACGGAGGCCTTGGAGCCCCAGCTGTGAAAAGCAAGGGCACCTGGAACAAGCAGGAGGGAGAGATATATACTTTGTACCAAGAGGCTCAGGCATGCTTCTCTCTTCCAGACCCTTCCTGGATATGGTGTACCATGCCCTGGACAGCCCTGATGATGACTACCATGCCCTCTTCGTGCTCTGCCTCCTCTACGCCATGTCTCATAACAAAGGTAGGTGTGCCTTTGCCCTATTCCACCAGGGACCCTGAGCTTGGGAGCCCCTGCCTCGGCTGTGTGCCGGGGCCGGGGGCGGGGTGGGGGGCACTCTGTGGCCTTCAGGTTGGACTTGTCACAGTGTCTCAAGTGAAGCCACAGGAATCAGTGGTGCAGGCAAGATGGGGAATGGATAGGAAGTAGCTGTGTGACCCAGAGAAGCTGGCTTCACACTGTGGCTTCTGACAACCCCACGCTCTCCGACTGACTCAGTCAGCGACCACCCTCCTAACATCAGAAGTGGAATCAGCCTGCGCGCAAACTTGGTGTTGCTATTTATACCTCGGTGCTCTTGCTGTGGGTTTGGGGCTGAAATAGACCTGACTGGAAGCGTAGCTTCCTCCCTGAAGACAGGGCTGCTCTCTGGCTTCCCCTGCTGTGGCCGTGTGGCCAGGAGTCAGCGCACCTTACAGTCACCAGGTCCCGTCACCCTCCCTGCCCACTCCGGGAAGCAGACTGGTGTTTGCCCTGCCTGGTTCCACTGCCAGTTATGGGATATCTGCCATCCCCTGGCAAGCGATGAGCCACAGTGCCAGTGTCATTACAGGCATTTTCCTTGAGCTGGCTGGGGGCGGGCAAGAGGGGGGGGCGGGGCTGTGGTACTGAGACAGCCTGTGGCTAGAGACATTAAAACGTACTCAGCACAGCTAAGTATTTACTCTTAAGTCATTGACCATGAAAATGAAGTTGATCCGCTCTAAAGAACATAGTGTGACACACTTCTTCCCTCCACCTGTGTCTCCTGCTGTCCTCATCAGAGCAGCTCATGCCATTTTCTCCTGTGGGAATAGCTTCTTTCAGTCTACTTTATTATTTTGAGATTCACCCATGTGTATATGTTCATTTTTTTCTATCATTGAGCCATATTTCATAGTCTGAACGCATCCAGCTCCTGTATCCAGCCACCTGTGCTTCTGTGAATGGGCTGTGGCCATCTCTAGATTTTCATCATTAGGGATAAAGCTGCTCTGAATATTGTATAGGGCTCTTTGTGTAGGCTCCTGGATCAGTATTTGTCACCTTTGTTGTCGGAAATCTCCTCTGGTTCTAAAAGACTGTCAGGTTGTTCCTGAGCGATGTACTGGATGTACTAGAGCTCACTGTTTGTAGGCCGTGTTCTCAGCCTGGGCTGCTAGACCAGCCCTACATGGTGATTGCTCAGTGCAGAGGATGTGTGCCTGGGGGCAGGGGTAGACCCTGCCCACAGGAGTGGGCCGGCTTCCTCAGGATGCCTGGGCCAATGGTCTGGGAGCTGGGAAGAAAAGGCCAGAAAGTTTAAAGAAAAACTGGCCTGGAGCAGAGGGAGAGGGGGCACAGGGTCGTCTGGGGTGGGGTCCATTTACCAGCACAGGCTGGCCGCTCCAGGAGCCAGCCTGTGAGGCAGCATGCATGGGCAGTGGGTGTCCTGTAAGCTGTGTGAGGCCTGTGAGGGCTAGCGGGACTAGGAAGTGACTGGTGTGATGCGATGGGCATGATGGGAGATGTGCACGGTGACATGGAAAGGCTATGTTGTCATTTAGCGAGCTTCTGCCCAGACCTCTTGCTCTGTGCACTGTTGTAGTCCCTGGAATAAGTCTATTGACTGATGACTCTTCAAGTGTCAAGAAGAGGAAGCAGGGTAGTGGGAAAAGGAAGAAGGAAAGCAACAGGGAGGAGCCAGGAGGAGACACTGGAACTGGTGGGGCACAGTTACTAGCCAGGGGGCTCAGAGCAGGCTGCTCCAGACAGGAATATCCAAAACAAGGCCCAGAGTGCAAAAGGAGCCAGCTCTGCAGAGTGCTGGGCAAAGTGCTCCATGCAGTGGGAGCAGTACAGACGAAGTCCTGGAGTGGGAAAGTCCTCACATATTTGAGGAGCAGAAAGTAAAGCTTGAGCAGGTGTGTGGGGAACCAGATCAGAAAGGGCCTTGAAGTCAAGCAAAGGAAGTGAAATTTGATTTCTAAATGTGGAAGTGACATAATCAGATGGAAATTTTTACTTGTTTTTTTTTTTTTTTTTTTCTGGTACTGAGGCTTGAACTCGGCCTGGATAACTGTCCCGTGGCTTTTTCACTCAAGACTGGCACTCTGTCACTTGAGCCACAGTTCTGGCTTTTTGCTGATTAATTGGAGCTAAGTATCTTGCAGAGCCGGATGGTGGGGGTGGGGTGGGGGGGAGAGGGGAGGGGGCTTTCCTGCCCAGGCTGGCTTCAAACTGTAATCCTCAGATCTCAGCCTCTTGGGTAGCTAGGATGATAGGCGTGAGCCCTCAGCGCCCTGCCAGATGAAAGCTTTTAAAGGACCCTTGCCTGTTGGATGGAGGGCACATGAAAGGGGGCTGGTGCGCGGTTACAAGAGAGGGGAAGCTGGAGACTCATTAGCAGCTGCTGCAGTAATCCCCGCAGTGTAGATGGGATTAGGGTGTTGGCAGCTGAGTTGAGGGAACTGCAAGAATCTGGGGTAGGTTTTGGAGCTGGGGCCATGTTGTGCTGAGGGGCTGGCTGTGGGCTAAGGGAGAAGGACACAGTGCTGAACCTGCAGCGTGGCTGGAGCCCTTTACCAACGGGGGGACCAAGAGAGAGAGACAGAAAAAGAGAGAGACAGAGAGAGAGAAAGGGAATAGGGATGGGGTGGTCTACTGGGCTTGAGTGGGAGGGATGTGGGGGAGGGCCGGGACCTCTGGACAGCTAGTGACCAGTATAGGCTATGGAGCAGGTTTAAAGAACTGGAAAGTCCTTCCTCCCCCAGGACCTCGGTGCTGGGAATGCCACCTAGTGGAGGAGCTGTTTGCTGTCCTGGCATTAGGTAGTGGTGGTGGTGGTGGTTCACTGGCTGGTTTCCTGGTTAGGCAGTAGATCCTTACCCACAAGCAGGCCCCTGAATGAGTCTCTTTCCAATAGGTTTTTTTTTCCTTCTAAGACAATTTTAACATAAAAGTAATGTTAATAGAAACCAAATGTGAGCTCAGGCCTTCCAGTAAATCATAATAGATTAGATGCTGCACCAACATGAGCAGCCCTGGGTGGGAAGGGCTGCTGGCTGGAGGAAGGGCTTGTCGTGGCTGTCCAGCCACATAATGAATTCTGCTTAGTTATCTGCAAGAGGAAAGGCAGCTTGGCTTTGTGGCGAGTCATGGGGCCGGCTTGGGGCGGAGGCGTGTGCTGTGAAATGTTGGGATTCTAGATGGTTCTCCAGTGCACACACCACCCTCACCCCCTGCTCCTCCCTTTCTCACTGTTTGCATGGAAGGAGTCTTGAGCTCTGTGTATTGCTTTGCTTAAAAGTTACTGGAAGGCGGGCGGAAGGATTGGGAAAGGTTGGAAGGTAATAGCAGGAAGGTGGAGAGCGGTGGAGCCTCCTGTGGACTCTTAGCTGAAACATGATCAAGACTGGAAGTCCACTGGCAATTGGCCCCACATCTGGTTAGCTTTCGAAATCACGTCTCTCTGTTTGCCGAAGCTGGCCACACATGCGTGACTATAGCCAGGGAGACTTTGTGTGGGGAAAAGAAACTAAACACTGGTGCCAGCCCGCACTATTCCTCCAGGGTTCCTGTCTGCTTCCCACTGTGTAGCGTTGGTCTGGGTCCTTTCCACCCCTGCCCTGAACGGGGCTACCACAGAGGAAGGCCAGCTACCCACAGCGCCGAGCCTCGCCCTTCCCTTCAGCTCCCTCCCAGCCACCCACCTATGCAGAGGGACAGACAGCTGTTCTGACTGGAGTGCAAGGCTTCTGGCAGGAGGGAGTAGTGAAGCATGTGGCTTGCTGAAGTGATCTGGAGCCAGCGCATCTGTGGACACGGGTTTCTTTGGAGTGTGTCGCCAGGAGCATTGAGTCAGTGGGACAATATGTTTATTATCCACTGTGTTTATTTCAGTCAGAGGGCAGTGACTGGCAGAGAACCTCTGTTGGGTTGCCACCGAGCCTGCCTTGCTGTGACTGTGCAGCACACAGCGTGGGTGTATTATATGCATCCTCCCACCCAAGTCCATTTTGCCCTACGTACATGTCCTTGCCCCATCTACTGTGATGCATGCAGGCTGCGCTCCCTGGCTCAGGACTGCTGGCGCCATTTTGTTCCAGGGAGATAGTTAAAATACCAAACCAAATGCTTTCCTACAATTAGATGCCTTCCTAGGATTAGCAAAAGGTGATGTAATTCTGGCTATAGAAAACAGCCGAATGAGTGGTCTGTCTCCTCACTGCCTGGGGTTGAGCTGCTTTGCACTAACCACCTGCTGACAGTTCTGTTGCATTCTTTCCAGCGCTCTTCTGCACAGTCTCACATTACAGCTCCTACGTTGTGGGTGTTTGTACCCAACTCTGAGACCTGGCTAAGCCTCTCCCTCTTTGGGTAGTGGGCTGAGTTTGGTAGGAATTTAGTTTACTCTTTTCAAAACTAAATTCTGCAGAATGTATGGTTGTTATCTCTGTATCAGGCCACTGCTCAATTGTGTGTCACCGGAGTTGGGGCAGAGGTCATGGGACACGTTAGAGGTGGTGCAGGGAAGGGGCCTGGAGTCAGGCCACATTTGACTCTGGGATTTCCCTGTCCTTCAGATGACCTTCTCGTCTTCTCTGAGCTTCTGTCTCCCAATCTGTAGACTGGAGATCACATTGAACATAGGATTAAACCAAGCATTGTACATAATATGCCCCAGTTCTTCTGTGAAGGACAGATTGTCTGGTTTGTTCTGCTCTGTTTTGCTTTGTGTGGTGCTAGGGACGGAACCCAGGGCCTTGTGCATGCTCTAAGGCTTGTCCTCATAGCAGAGGCCTCCTCTGTTTCCTCCCCAGTGCACCAACTCAATATCCAAAGAGACCTGGGCAATTTGACGTTTGTTATGAGCGGGTACTTCAGTACATGGGGCCTGCTTGGGAAACATTTGATGTGGTCAAGGGTCTCCAAGTGCTTTTAAAGGCTGCCGGACCAGAGGAATGTCTGGAGTTTGTGGGTAGTGGACTACACAGTTTTGAAAATAGAGGCCATTGTGGAGGAGATTTTAGCCAGGTGTGGTGGTGCACACATATAACCCCAGCACTCAGGGAGAGGGGTGCAGGCTGGGGCCTCCCACAACTGCCCTCTCTACCTCTGGCTCTGAGTTTCCCCCGCTGTGGGGTGGGCCCATACAGGGTGACCTCAGGGTCTCCAGACCTGGCACAGAAGGGAAGCGAGTCACCCTGTGGGAAAATTAGGCTTCCATTCCTCGTCTGTGTCTCAGGGGGGTCAGTTTGTCCTCACCACGAGGTCCTGTCAGTCTCCCTTTTTACCAAAGATATAGCAGGCCTTGGCCACAATGAGTAGATAGTCAGCAGTTAGTAGTAGAATGTGGAGACATTGTTTTGTCCATGAGATTTCCTATTAATAGCAATGGAAGATGTATACTTTAGCTACGTCCACGTATTTCAGTGTACAGGACTCAGACATGAGTTCTGTCTAGGTAGTAACCCGGCCTGGGAAAAGTCACAGAAATGGAGCTTGGCGGCTGGGGTTGAAAACCCCATTCTTCAGTGTCTCTCAGAAGCCCAAACCTTCCCATCAAGTCAAGTATCTCTACTTATGTCCTTACCCTTTCTCCACCCCAGGCATGGATCCTGAAAAACTTGAGCGAATCCAGCTGCCAGTACCAAACGCTGCGGAGAAGACCACCTACAACCATCTCCTGGCCGAGAGGCTCATCAGGATCATGAATAATGCTGCCCAGCAAGGTGCCCACCCAGGGGTGCTGTGTGTTCACGGAGGAGTCAGGTTCTTCTGAGACCGGGTACTGCCAGCCCTGGTTCCAGACCTGACCCTTCAGGGGGGCTGGAGAAGACCTCCCACTCACTCTGCCCCTGGCCACCAGCGCCTCTCGTGCCAGGCCTGCATCTCTGGGTCTCCTCATTCTTGCTGCTTTTGTCGGTGCCTGTGTCTTCCTCTCTGGGTGGCCCAAGGCCTTGCTGTAGGATGAGGGAGGGTTAAAAGTTTGGGTGAGGTGCCAGCCCTGGCATTGAGCAGCCTAACTACCTTGTTGATCTGAGCAATACTTATCTGTAGCCAGAGACCACAAGATGCCCTGGCAAGGCATTTCTCAGCTGGGTGATTTTGCCACCCAGGGGCCATTTTTGGTCATCACAGCTAAGTATGCTACCGGCACGTAGTGAGAGAGGCAGAGGATGTTGCTAAATGTGCTGCAGTGCACAGGACTGACCACGACACGGAATGACCTGACCCACGGTGTCAGCGGTGCCGGGGCCGAGCCAATTGCCGGGCAAATCCTGCACAAAGGCAGGAGAGTGACACGGGAAGGCCTGTCCTCACTTCCCTGCCTCAGGGGAGCGAGCCCCAGGCCCATGGGAGGCCGGGGCAGAAGTTGTGATGGAGCTAGGAGCTTCCAGAGGTACAGGGGCAGTGGTGCATACATGCTGGTGAGCAGCACAGGCTTGGAGAGCTGGCCTAGGCCCGTGAACATCACAGAGGAGTTTACAGAGAGCCTCCTGCATGCCAGCTGTGGCATGACTGACCAGGGTCGCAGAAGTTGGGGGACCCAGTGCCATGGTCCCTGAAGTGCCATGTGGAGAAGAGGTCAGGTCTAGTGCCACTCTTGGCCTGTGAAACCCAGAAGAGAGGGGGTGTCATGATGGCACCTGGGGCACTGCACTGGACACTCCATACCTGGAGGCGATGGAGAGGGGGAACCTGAGCCAGAGAAGAGAGGCGGTGACTTGGGATGAAGGGGGTGTCCAACGGGCTCCACTTTGCTTAGGGCAGCAGAGCACATTGGGAAGCACAGCAAGGGAGGTGTGGGAACCAGCCATGTGGAGGCAAGCAGCTGACGCAGGTGGATTATGGCGTGGGTGCCGTGTCTGGAGAGGACTCTCCCAGGGTGCACAGACAGCCCGAGCTGCTAAAGAGAAGAGGTTCAGGCAGCCCAGAGCCAGTCCGGAAACTGCACTGAGGAGTCCGGGGGCTGCTGTGGAATGGGGGCGGGGGGCAACTCCTTGTCAGGAATCTTCAGGGGCTGGGGTGGCAGCAGGAGTGTAGTTAGCAGGGCCTGGACACTCCCTCCCTCCTGGACCTTTCCTCAGAAACCATATGCCAGACCCACAGTCCAGCCCACAGTTGGACTTTGGCCAACTGTTACCAATGCTCTGGGAGAGGTGCCAGGCGTGGGTTTTGGCAGGGCATCTGGCATCCTCACTGCCCAGCTGTGACACCCTAGACAAGTCACTTCACTCCGCAGCGACTTCTCTAGCAGTTCCTCAAGAGGGCACCTGGCACCTACCCTGGCTCGCAGCAGATAGGCATGGCAGATCTGGTAGACAGGAAGGACTCTGTTGCAGTTAGAAACCCAGCTCCGGGCTGGGAAGGTGGCTCAGTGGTACAGTGCTCGCCTTACATGCATGAGGCCCTGGGTTTGATTCCACAGTACCACATAAGCAGAAAAGGCCAGAAGTGGCGCTGTGGCTCAAGTGGTAGAGCGCTAGCCTTGAGCTGAAGAGCTGAGGGACAGTACCCAGGCTCAGAGTTCAGGCCCCACGACCAACAAAAAATTAATTAACTAATCAATTAATTAAAAAAAAGAAAACCAACTCATACTGGCTTTAAACAACACAAGCAAATAAAACTTGCCTTGTAAAGTCTTTGAGGAGCTGGCTTCAGGCACCAGACAATGTTTTCCAGAAACCTTTGGACCCTGTCACCATCTGGGTTGGCAAGATAATCCCCAGCAGTATTAGCCACCCTTTCTCTCCTGGGGCTGCATGCTTGCTCTGTGGGAGACACGGCTTGTACAGTCTGGTTGGAAGAGGGAGCTTGTGACCTTGAGAGCTTGAGGACTGTTCTTGCAGACACTTTGTAGTGTAGGGCGAGGAGGTGGTTGATGGGATGACAATGCTTGCACTGTTCAGGTCCCCACCAGAGCTGCTGGGCTTTGCACAGCATTGACACTTGCCTAGTGCTTTCAGCAGTCTATAGACTGGAGCCTCTCTGGCTCTCCCTAGCTCCTTGCCTCCTCCTACCCCATCACTAGGACTGGGGGATTGGTACACCTGACTGGCCTGGGCCACATGCCTATCATCCCTGGAAGAACAAAGGAGACCACCCTAGAAGCAGGAGAGTGTGTGTTGGCCAGGCATGGCCACCAATGAAGACTGCACTCCAGGCTGCAGCAACCTTAACTGCCCTTCCTTTCCCACCTCCCTGCCCCTGATACAGGCCTTCTGGGAGGTGTTTGGTATACAGATGACAGATCTGGAAAGGGCTGGCACGTGGAGGGTCCCTCTGTGTGTGTCTCTGCTGCAGGCTGGGGACCTTAATCAGTCTGCCTATCGCTGACAGGTTAGCCTTCCAGTAGGTCAGGAAGGGCCTTGGTTTTAAGGGTAGTTGGCACCGGGGGATGCCAGGCTGATCCTGCTGTGCTCTGCAGATGGGAAGATCCGGCTGGCCACACTGGAGCTGAGTTGCCTGCTCCTGAAGCAGCAGGTGCTGACCAGCTGTGGCTGCATCATCAAGGATGTGCACCTGGCCTGCCTCGAGGTGAGGGCCATCCCATCCCTGTCCCTCCTCTCCCCTTCCACTTCCTGTGAGCTGAGGAGGAGGGTCCCCAACCCACCCAGCCCATCTGTCCCTGCTGGAGCCTGAAAAGCCCACTTCATCACAGTGCCCCCTGGGTTTGCCCTACGCACAGGTATATTTATTTACAGGGTTTTTTTTTGTACTGAAATACACAGTTGTTAAGTTCAGTAGCTTTTATTGCCTCCTTTCTCCATTTTCCGTGTTTCTAAAGAAAATTTAAGACATACAGAGAGCTTAAAAGTTATGATTACAGTCACTACTTGCATATGGCAGTTGCTTACACATACACTAATGGAATAACTTTTTATTTTATAAAAGTGGAGTGAGTCCTAACAGCCATATGTGATCATCAGTCCCATTAATTCTACATGAATGGCTTTCCATGTCATCACATGCCTCCTTCACACCCTCTTCTCTTTCAACAGGGTGCAAGAGAAGAGAGTGTCCACCTTGTACGGCATTTCTACAAGGTAATTGGCAGTCCAGGTGTCTTACAGAAACAGGATTGTTGGTGTCTGATCCCACATTGTAAAGGTTTTATGTCTTCTCTTATCTTTATACTTAAGATTATAGGTCAGAGTGACAGTTCCAGTCTATAGGAGTGGTCTCTCAGCTTGCCATTTCTTTTCAGAAAGTGTTTTAAGGACCCAGTCCTAGTTTATTATGAAGTGTATTATTTATGTGTAAGTTACTAACCATATACACAAATGACTAAGTTATACATGATGGACTTATATGTCGATGACCTATATATGCCAGTATATATAAGATTACTTGTGAATTAGCTCTGGCTGTATCAGTTATGACTGTGTATACTATTTCTAGGCATGTGTGCTAAGAAACCTCTTTCAGGCTTCCTGAGATTTTTGTAAAGTACCAGCTTAACTTCAGAACTGAAACATTTGTAGGCTATCTTCAGGTTCCAGGTGATTAGGTTTAAAAGATCTATTTGTCATGGTTTTGTTCAGTTCTATCGAAAGCCCATATTTTAGTATATTCAGGCTACTCTAACCAAATACCAGCCACTGCATGGCTTATGGATGCAGAGATTGATTTCCCACAATGCGGGGGCCTAGGAAGACTGAGATCAAGGCAGGGTGATGTTGGTGAGGTCACTGCCTCACAGCTGGTGCCTTCTGCTGCAACCAGCTCCTTCAGGCCTCCTTGATAAGGACCCAGATCCATTCAGGAGGCTGGACCCATATGACCTTAGCACCTCCCAGAGGACCCATGGCCAACCATGGGGTGAGGACTTCAACACAGGAACATGGGGACAGACCCAGTCATTCAGAGCTTACTCCTCCTTAGGCAAGGCTTGGCCAGAATGGATTATCCATGTGTGCACAGTCCTCATGGTTTTCTGATCTCTGGGCCCCTGCGGCAGATCTCCCTTGTCCTGCTAGTTGCCCCTGGAAGTGACTAATACAGCCTTCAGCGCTAGCACTGCCCTCATTCCCTGCTCCTCATCTGTCCTCTACCTCCTCTTTCTTTGGGGGAATCTTTTACACTAGCTAGCACTGGCAGTGTTTAAGATGACTCTGTAGGATCTGGAAATCCTCCTTGCCAGATGCAGTGGACCCCATTCCACTGCAGTAGACAAAGAGCACTGCTCTGGGCCTCTGCATACCGCACGTGGGGAATCCCAGCTTCCTTTACAGCACTTCAAACCACACTTGGGGTATCGCCCTCCCCCGCCCCCACGGCACCAGGTTGTCCTAGTCATCTTTAAACCTTTTTCCCGATAATTGCTTTGTTTTATTCCCTCAGTCCTGGAAGGGTATAGAGCTGGCAATTCCCAGTAGATAATTCTTGTTACTAATAGGGAGAACTGTATGTAAATTTTCTTTCCTTCTCCCAGTCCAGAGTGTTTCTCTTGCTTTCATCCTGTGAAGTGTTACACCTAAGTACAGCGTGTCAGGAGCTTTTAGATGTTTTCAGGGGTTGTCATTTCTTTTGCTGTCACTTTAGCTGTGCAGATACTCAAGGTTGTCTGTAGTCAGACAGCTGGACAGTATGAAAAAGGTCTGAGTCCTGGCTTTGACTGTGTGTGTATTGAGAGAGAAGGAGAGAGATAGAGAGAGAGAGAGAGAGAGACAGACACTTGTATTTCTGAAAGTTAGGAGACAGAAGATGGTTCCTTTTTGAAGTAAGATTTTTTTAAAATTATCTCAAGTAGTTGTACAAAGGGGTTTCAATTTAACAAACCACCTTATGAGTACAATACATCTTGGCCAGTATCACCCCTCCCATCATTCTCCCCAATCTTTCCCACCCCCAGGGGACAGTACTTGACATCATTGCTCAGCAGAGATTATATTGACAGTAAGTGCTCACATTCCCCTTGACAGAGGAGCAGGCTCTGTCTCCACATTTTTGTGTGTCAGCTCACTTCACTTGCAGCAGAGATGACCCTGCACCCAACTGTGGGCACTCCACAGTTGCAGTAAAGTAGAAGGTCCCTGGGATCTGGCCCCTGGGTTGTGTGTCTCAGACCCATGCAGGTCTGTACACCCTGTTCTGAAGGGGACCTGCTGGGAGGGGTCTCAGCCTGAGGAGCTGTGAGATCCCAAGGCTCTCTTCAGAAGCAAATGGAACAACCCATTTGGTGTTAAGCAGTTGTAATTACTAGCTTCCTTTCAGAGGTGTGAGGCTTCACATTTTTAACATGGTAACTTAACCAGGATTTCCATTTCTCTAGCCATTCTTGACAGATACATGATGCTGAGCACTTGAGATATTAACCTCCTCTCTCTTTTAATCATGTATAAGGTTATTTTTGTTGTTGCTTTCTTACTGTATTGACAGAAAAACTCAATAAGCATTTTAAAAAGGAGAAAAACATTGCATGGCTCAGCTTGCTGTTTGGTCTTTTGTCTGAGTGTGTGTGTGTGTGTGTGTTTTCACGTGTATATTTTACTTCCTGGTGATTTACGAGAATTCACTAACAAGAAGCAGATGGCCTCAAAAACCAAGAGCTCAGGTTTATAATACTGTGTTCACAGAAAAAAAAAATATGAGTAATCTCTTCTCTTCCTCCCTTCCTTTGTAGGGAGAAGAGATTTTTTTGGACATGTTTGAAGACGAATACAGGAGCATGACAGTAAGTGAGGGCCCAGCACACCTGAGTTGGTGTGTTCCTGGGGGCCTGCTGAACCCATAGGGCTCTCTGTCTGACCGGGGGCTTTCTCACCAAGTAGCAAAGATTGGTAGGAAGGGACTTTTGTAGTGAAGCCTCTTGATCCCCAACACTGAGCGAACCTCAGGCTGTGTCTCTCTGCGTTGATGTAAGTTGTGTTGGGAAGGTGTCTCTTCAGAGGAAGCACCTGTGTCTGCAAAATCTAACCTTGACAACGCCAGTCTGTGGGGAGGGCTACTGCCCTTGTCTCTCCTTCAGCTGCTCAGGAAGATGGAAGGCAGAGAGGCCACCTCCTGGCCTCTCTGTCCCCCTGTTAGTGACAGAACCTGCCTCCACAGCAGAGCTGCCCTCCCCATGCCCTGTTGTATCTGTGTGTTATGCTGCCTTCTTTGCTGCTCTGAGGGAATGTTCCAGCACATAGTGTCAGCTAGGTCTCTGCCTCTCCCTGCAGCAGGCAGCATTGTAAGGACTGAACAATCTTCTGGTTTTTTCTACCCGTCTCTTCCTCCCTAGCCCTGCTCCCCAGCAGACATCACTAAATAGATGGCCAGTTATCTTTTCGTGGATGTTACCAAAGTGTGAAGTGACTAGGACATTGATAATAAGCCTAGAAAGCAGGTGCTCAGCGAAGTGGCTCTCTGGCTTTGCAGCCCTTTCAATTGGGTTCTGGATACAGGGTCCTCACCACGTCTTGTCACTGTGCACTGAGCCTCCAGAGGCGCCCAGTAACATGCAGAGGCCCGGGCTGCTGTGACTGCAGCTCATGGTTGACATTCTGCCTCATCATTCTGTTTTGTGTGAGTGCTGGCCCTGGGGCTTGAACTCAGGGCCCAGGCACTGCCCCTGAGCTTTTTCACTCAAGGCTGGTGCTCCACCATCTGAGCCACAGTTCCACTTTGGGCTTTTTTAACTGGCTCATTGGAGATAAGCGTCTGATGGACTTTTCTGCCCAGGCTGGCTTTGAACCACAATCCTTAAATCTCAGTCTCCTGAGTAGCTAGGATTAAAGGTATGTCAGTGGGTACCTGGCAAATTTCAACATTCTTAAAGGGGCTCAAACTTGACTCTTCAGACCACTGACTCGTGTGGGGGTGGGAGAGTGCAGTGGCTGTCTGCTGCTTTGCTGTTTGTCTCCCTATCCCCTGCCCTCTCTGCAGTATAGTTCCAGTGTAAAGTTCTTATGTCACATGTGATGTGCTCACTGCCTAACTATGTGACCCTGGGCAGGGGCCTTCAGTTCTGAGCTCTGATGCTTTATCTGCTTGCTGGGCCTACACCCCCGGCTTGGCCAGGCTGGATGTAAACTGCCCAACAAGATGCCTCATGCAGAGTCTAAAAATGATTCCTTTCCTGTCCTCCCACCCTAGTGAGCTTCCTGAGGTTTATTTGTTTTAATCAAATGTTTGTGGTGTGTCCTGCACAACGTCTGACATTCTCTAGAAATACAAAGGTGGCACACCCAGGGCCCTGTGGCTGCTGCAGTCAGCCTCCCTTACCCCGCGTGGGAGCCACGCTGAAGCCAGGCCTTGGCTTTCACTGCTTCCCTCACATCCTTTAGCACCAGTGTTCAATGGGAAAGGGAACGGACCCTGCAGTCTGTGTGGAAGGAGCTCGCTGGACTGGAGGTCTGCCAGCAAGCAGGGCAGGCGGGGGGGGGGGGCACTACTGCTAGGCCATTGCCAATCAATGCCAGCCACAGCCCAGATGGGAATGCAGCCTCTCTCCCCCTGCTCTGGAATGCAGGGACTTTGGGGTGTGGGGGGAGTGTCAGATCTCTAGAGGAAATTACTTGTCAAAAAGAAGACAGCCTGTCCTGAGTGACTGTGGTTCCAGGCTCAATAAAAGGAAAAACCTGAAACCAGCCATGGGTCTGAGGTTCACGCTTGTAATCCTAGATACTCAGGAGGCCAAGATCTGAGGACCACAGTTTGAAGCCAACCCAGGCAGGAAAGTCCACGAGACTCTTGGTCTACAATTGACCAGCAAAAAGCTAGGAGTGGAACTATGGTTCAAGTGGTAAAAATGCCAGCTTTGAACAGAAAAAATCTAAAGGACAGCCCACAGGCCCAGTACCAGCACACACAAAAACCCTTGCAACCTAGAAAAATAAGAAAGTACTATCATCACAGCGGACAGCCTGGAAGAGGGAGGGGTCTCCATCAAAGCCAACGTGGACAGCACTCGTTGACTCTGTATGGGTTTGGGTAGAAGCCCTGTGGCCTGCCCAATGGCGCCTCCCCCAAGTGAAGCTTCCTGTCACATCTCCTAGATGAAGCCCATGAATGTGGAATATCTCATGATGGACGCCTCCATCCTGCTGCCTCCAACGGGCACCCCACTGACAGGCATTGATTTTGTGAAGCGGCTGCCATGTGGCGACGTGGAAAAGACTCGGCGGGTGAGTGTGCACGCGGGCCTGGCCCAGCCTCTCTTAGGGACTCTTCCTACCCCAGAACCCCTTCTGGGCCAGGAAGGAAAGGGTCAACGTCAAGAGCCCTTCTCCATCATGAGCTTAGTCATGGGTAGAGGACACCACCCAGACACTCCGAAACTATACATGGCTTTCTAAAGCATGTTGCCCTTTGGTAGTGGGGATTGGAGTCCCATGGCACCTGGCACCACTGGGGGCTGTGGGCAGGCACCTCCTCCGTACGGCCTGCAGCCTGAGCGCAGCGAGCTCAGCGGGCAGAAGCCAGGAGGCTGGGCTTCTTCGAACTGGGAGGAAAGCTAGAACACCCAGAGCAGGTGGGGGGCGGGGGTGAGATCTTACCCTGCGATCTCAGGACCCCCAGAGATGGCGTGATGTTAAGGTATCTGGCTGATCTGGGGACAAGGCACACGCAAGTGAAATTGCAAAGAGATGTTTGTGAAGGGTAGGGAGTTCTCAGAAGCAGCCGGAGTGTGCGCGTACCTTATCAGCACTGTGCTCTGAGGCGGGCGCTCTAGGAAGCAGCCTTGGCTGGGCTGTTCATGGTACTTTATCTCCCTTGTAAGATCACAGTTTCTTTCTTAGAAAGCACCACAGCCTTTTCCTGGAAAATCATTCCTGAAGACAAGCTTCTTAGAGGATAATTAGAGGAATTTGTTGCACGTAGCTCAGTTATCAGGTATACCTTCTGCCTTAATCTGAGTGTGCCGTGTGGAAGAGGGTTGACTCAGAATTCTGGAAAGCTGGTGGCATGCTTTGTGCCTCCAGCAGGAGGAGTTGGCCACCTTCCTCTACCTGCTGGTGCTCTTGCCTCAATGGCAGTGGCTCCAGGCTGCAGAGGAAGTGGGACCCACGTGTCTTGAGTCAGTGACATTCCCAGCTGTCTGAGCAAAGCCACAGGCCTCACCACAGAAGCCGCCCTGCTGAGCCGCTGCCGCCGTCCTTCCCTTTGCTTGGCAAGCACCAGTGCCTAACCAATCAGGCACATGGTTTTGTTGGTGGGTGGCTTTGTGTAGTGGGAGGCTGATCTGAAGAGTGGGTGTCCTGTGGGCCACTCCTCAGCGCCAGCAGCTCACCTTTGGCCTTTTGTTGGCCTGAGGGGTGCTCCCCAGGAAGATTCCAGCCAGGGTGCAGGCCCATTTGGGCAATCTGTAGGACTGGAGCCCAGCTGCTGTCCTGGCTGCACTCTGCTACCCTCTGGTTCTTGGTGGAGTATGAGTGCATAGCCTTAGTAAAGAGCCTAACCTTCATGTCAGTCTTTATGTGGGTTTCCTTGTCTAATTCCATGCACACTTGGAGGTGGCCCTGTTGTTACCCCAGCTCCCTATTGGAGGTATCTGCGATTGAGCAATGTGCTCAGTTACTCCGGTTGTCCACAGCTGAGCCAGGAGCTGGTCCACGCAGTGTGGCCTCTGGAGCCCCCCAGCTCTGAAGCGCCCTAGCCCACTGCCTTCTGCCATGAACCCTGCTTGTGCTGGACCGAGACAGGGAAGTAGCCCAGCCCTCTAGGAGCCAGTCTAAAGGGTGTGGCAGGAAGGACTGTAGACCACATTCCTAAAGCATCATGGTACAGGGAGGAGATAGAGAGGACTGGTTCCAGAGGGATGGCTCTTAAGCCAGGGTTGTGGCATTGGGCTGGGCAGAACTGGATAACATGGGCCCAGAGAGATGTCGCACATCCTGGCACCCCCAAATAGCCAGCACTGAGCAGAAACTGATAAGGCCAAGGGGAGGGGCTGGCTGGAGCCAGGTCTTGGAGCCAGGTGAGGACACTAGCTGTCATCTCCCAACATAGTTTTACAGTATCCTGCCCTGCTGGCTGGCGTAATCCATCCTCTCCATTAGAGAGAAATGGAAGCGATCTAGGGTACACGGTCAGGCTGGTGGCAAAGGAGAGGTTGGGTGTCTACTCTGAGCTACCTGTCTCTTCCTCTATAAAGCAGAATGCACTTGCCTTGCCAGAGTTACCATGAAGACTCATTTAAGACATACGCATCGTAAGATCCTTGATGAGATTAGTTCTGTTCTCCTGTCGTCCCTCACATTCCACTTCGATGCAAGTTCCCAGGGCTCTGCTGCCCACCTGCCTTGCTCCTGTGGGATGTGCAGCCTGAATGGGGGAAGCAAGGCCCAACTCCTGGGGCTGTCTGGGCTTCCTCAGGGTTTCTTGTTAGGCCCTCTGAGCAGTTTACAAAAGCAGCACTAGAATCCCAGGATCGCTGGTAACACAAAGATAGTAAATAGGGCAGGCCTCTCAAGCAGACTCATCCACTTCAGAAAAGCTTCTTTTCAGACTTCATGAGTCAATCTCTGAAGGGAAGTGTTGGCCTTTCACCTAGTCTAGCTCTTGTTGGAGACTGTTGTCTAGAATCCTCTGAAGGCAGAACCCAGCATGTGTCCTGACTTGGAGCTCCAGGACGTGGTAGCTCTGCAAGCAATTTAGGGCTCCTCTGGTTTGTCTCCAGATTTTCACTCCTAACACTGTATCTCTTTGGAGTCAAAGGCTTTCTTTCTCTCTCAACTTGTCTGTCTCTCTCTCTCTCCCCATCTTGATGGACAGACAGATAGACTTCTCTAAGTAGACTTATTCCATTTTAGGTCAGTCCTTTTCAGAAACCTCACCCTTAATTTTCCTTAAGGACTTAGAGAAGGTCAAACATCTGGCCCTTCCTAGTAAATCACTGCTGACTACAATGTTCATTCACATACTCCTCCAAGAGCTGCTTGGTCCCCATGTGCCAGACACTGAGCTGTACCTGGGATGCACAAGTCCCTGCCTCTGTTCTCACCTAAGGAGGTCACCAGTAATTACAAGCATCTGAGAAGCACGTGTGATGGCCAGGGCAGCAATGGGCTGATGCGGTAGGGTCCGATGGGCACAGCCTGTGAGAGAAGCAGATAGGACGTACACTGCGGAGCTGCATCCAAGCATAAACCCAGGAAACAAGAAGGAACACAAAAGTCAGAGCCCAAAGATGGCCCATGGCTGGTGTGGGGAGGGCCTTGGAAAGCATCCAGTGACAAAATTCCCTTCTTTGCATTTTATGTCACACCACATGTTCTGTCACTTGATGTATTCGTTGACCCGTATGTGTGTGTGTGTGTGTGTGTATGTGTATATATGTATATATGTGCTTCTATATATATATATATGTATTTATATATGTATATGTGTCTGTATGTATATGTGTATATGTGTATATATACATACACACACACATATGTAGACCAGGGGGGCAAGAAATCCAAAGGCAGACCAAAATACCAGGAGTGCCACTGAGCTAGGCTGGCTGAGAGGAACAGTTCTTGTTGAAATAAAGGTCACCAAAGCCCTAGGGTCTGATGAGAGAACACTAGCAGAACTTGGCACTAGCCTGCCCCACCCACATGGAGTGGCAGTAGACTCAGAAAAGATTGAAAGTTTGTGAGTCAGACCAACTTTGGGTCAAACCCAGTTTAGCCGTGTTAATTTAGCCAAGGTTAAACCCAATTTAACCTTGAATGAATCTCAGGATCCTAAGTTCCTTCCTCTCACTTCTCAGTTGTTGTCCACAATAGAAGAGAGCGCAGTGCTAGGGCCTGGCAGACAGTGAGTGCTCAGACCTGCAGGCTGAAGTGGGTGGTCTGCTGCAGCTCCCATGAACAGCAGATGGGGTCTCTCCTAGTCTCAGCAGGAAGAGCCAGGGCTGAGATTTGGTGAGCATCAAAATCTGAATGGAAGCACTAGCCATCTTCACACAGGAACTGGCAGGTCACAATGAAGTAAGTGTAAGCTTTTCCTTGTCCCCACTGTTCTCTTGTCCCCTTGTGAACCTGAACTGCAGGCCTGTTTGTTTATCACTGAGGGCCTCCTGCTGTGCTTCTCATCTGTGCATTACACCCTAGAGCAGCATTGCAGGTTTTCAAAGCAAGGAAGAACAGGAGCAGCGACATGTAGGCCTGCCCTGAGCCACCTCCATCTCTTTGCAAACTTCTCCCCTCCTGATGGCAGGGAGGGCATCTTTGTCATGCCCCAGTTTTCATCCCGTCCTGTTTTACTTGTTATTACAGGGCAAAAAGTTTTTCATGTTGTAAGTGTCTATTGTTAAGTGTCTTTTTGTAGTGTTGGGATGGAAGCCAGGGCCTCACCCATGCTTAACCTCCGAGCTACCCTCCAGCCATGATGCAGTTTTAGTAAGTCTGTCTTTAGCCCACACTGTCCCCAGATTTTGCGATCTTCTTCTCAGCCTCCTGGATGCTGTGATTAGAGCCCTACATACCATCTTGGCTAGTAAATCTGATTTCTTTTTTTTGTTTGTTTGTTTTTTGTTTTTGGATCCGGTTGTGGGGCCTGAACTCTGGGCCTGGGCGCTGTCCCTCAGCTCTTCAGCTCAAGGCGAGCGCTCTACCACTTGAGCCACAGCGCCACTTCCGGCTTTTTTTTTCTTTTTGCTTATGTGGTGCTGAGGAATCGAACCCAGGGCCTCAGGCATGCAAGGCAAGCGCTCTACCACTGAGCCACCTTCCCAGCCTGTAAATCTGATTTCTTATGACTATCAAGGTTTCTCTGGTGACTTTGGCATCATACACTTGAGCAGCATTTTTCCGTTAGACATTTGGGGTTGGTCCCACTGTTACAGTATTTGCAGCTGAACTGTAGTGAGCTGTTCCATGAATACAGTTGTCTTTCTTTTGGCTTATTTCCTCAGGATAAGGTCTCAGAAGCGGAACTTCTGGTTCAAAGGGTATGAACTTTTTTGTCTGGCTGCATATCGCCACATTGCTTTCCTGGTGGGCTGCCCCATGTTAAATGGCTTCTGCATTCTTCTGTGACTGACTCTTGCAGTCCTTTCCACAGCCTTCGGGGGCTCCTAACCTGAGTGATGGTTGCCTATATTTGAACAGCTTGCATACCTGGCAAGGGAGTGGGAGCCTGAACTGAGTCAAGTGTTTGTTCCCGGGCCAACCCAGAGCTCACTGCGTCTCCCAGGCCACTTGTCTCATGTGGATGCCCTGTGGCACCCTGTCCCCAAGCAACCCGCCTGCGCTCAGCCTCAGCCAAGCTGAGGTCTGACTCCACGCCATCCGAACTTGCCAGGTAGATTCTCAGGAGACTGAGTTAAGCCAGCGTAGAAACTGGAGAAGTCTCTCCTTCCTGTTTGAGCATGATCTGCTGCCTCTCCTCTCAGTCTGGTCTATTTCCCAAGCATCACCCTTCTTAGCATTCTGAAGAATCTGAAAAAGAAATGATTTCCTATACCTTTTTTGAGTGATACTTTGAAGTTTTTCATTTTCATTGAGCAAAGAAATGATAGCTACTCCATAAACTCTGGGTCACAAGTTCTAAATCTTTTGAAGCCCAGGAGAAGTTATTCAGGGAGTGACCTTGGAGGCTGCCTGTGTCCCCAAGCTCCATTTCTGTCTGTGACGGGGAGTCTCGGGCCATTCAGCGCCCAAATGAGACAACGATGTCACTGGCTCTGCATAAGCCTAGGGCAACCAGAGGAAGCCACTGCTGTTTCAGAAGGTGGCAGGTACATGTGTGGCCTCAGTCTTGTGTGGTGTAGCATTCTGTGTGTTCAGCTCACCTGCCAGGCATTTGTAGACCCCCCTTGGAAGCCCGGCTGGCCCCGTGTGGTGCACCTTGTCCTATGGGACCCCCTATCTTCCATTCAGGGGTACAGGCCTCTGATGCCTTCTGCCTTCCCTTGGGAGTGGAACAGGAACCAGCAGTTTATTTTGTATGTTTGATGTTCCTTTTTATATTTTGAATGATCTTATTTTTTTTACTTGTTTGTATTCCTGGAAACAGCTTCCATTTGTCATTTGTAGTGCAGAAGCAGATGTTTTACCAAAAAAGCCCTGTTAGCAGCCAAGTAAGGAACTTTTTTTTTTTATTCAGTGGAAAGTGTAGGCTTTCCAGTGCTATGCTGAAGAAAGCAGTGTATGTTTCTATTTTCTCAACCCCAGCTGTGGACCTACTAGGTGCTTGCCTTCAGATCACTGAGAGGACCACAGCTGACACATAGGAAGCCCCTCCCTCACTGGGTCCTGCCTGTAATGGACCTTGCATTTTCTTTCTCTCTTTTTCAGCCTCTTATTTAAGAGCTCCACTGCAAGATATTCCGTTGCCTCCCGTTGGGCTGGCCCAGGGGTTTGTATTTCCTGGTGTGCTAGGCTGTGTGACCCAGGCCCCTGGGGTTGGAGTCACAGCATCCCTCCCATAGCAGCCATGTGGACCATCACTTTGCCTGCCAGCTCCCATTCTTCTTCCCAGGCTGCAGTAAGGTGCTCACAGTCCCTGGCCCGCAGTAAGACCCTACTATGTGGAAGGTCTCCCAGGTTCATTGTAGCCATACCTGTCTTATGACAGAGATGAAGTCTATACTTTAGAAACTTCCAGGAGTTGGTGGCCCATACCTGTAATCCTAGCTACTAATAAGCAGGCTGAGATCTGAGGATTGGAGTTCAAAGCCAGCCCAAGAAGGAATGTCTGTGAGATGAGACTCTGGTCTCCAACTAACCACCTAAAAGCCAGGAGTAGAGATGTGGCTCAAGTGGTAGCTCTCCAGCCTTGAGAAAAAAGCACAGGGACAGCACCTAGGCTCTGAGTTCAAGCCCAGTACTGGCACAAAATATATAAATAAATAAAAGACCTGCTAGAACTATTATTACTAATACCACCACCGGTCCTCACGGTGTGAGCACTGACTTTCCCTAGTACTTCTGAGTTCTCAGAGAATACTGGGAGGGTGGGTGGAAGTGCTCTGCCAGTTTCCTTCAATAGGATCTTGGTCCCAGGCCTCCCTCCCACTGGTTCAAGGCCAAAGTAGAATCAGACTCACCCGATTGGAGTCATCAGAGACAGCGCTATCCCAGCTCTTGGCCAACAGCAGTGTGTCCTCCTTCTTGTTGGGGAGCAGTTTGCCGGACTTAAGGGCACTCTCCCTTCACATAGCCATTGGAGTCAGAATAAGAATACCCAAAGGTGCACTTGAATTCATCTTTGTACAGCTCACTCAGGCGACCCCGGCTTGTCCCTGGGCCTTCTCTCTGCCCAGCACGGTGCCTGTCTAGTGACTAGATGACCATTCTTTATGGAGACTGTGCTGGCCCCTTCTCCTGCAGCCTTAGCCCAGGGCTGGCTCAGTCTGTGAGTAAGAAGGTACTGTGCCCATTTCACAGATGGGGAGAGTGAAGCTTATAGCAGTTGGGCTTTGCTCAGCGTAGTAGGGTTGCTGGTCCAGGGAAGCCTTGTCTGTGCCTCTGGAGAGAGAGCTGGAGTACCTTTCCTCCCTGCCCTGCTTCTCAGCTCTGTTGGTGGCGAGCCTGCTCTTTGGCTGACTGCTGCTTCTTGCTCGCACGTCTGGGCCTCTACCTCTGCAAACGCCCAGTAGCCACACTGGGTTCTGACAGACTGCTTTTCCTAGGCCAGGAATCCCTGTGCCATTGGGGCTGCCTCTGCCTCCAACAGGCGCACAGGGAAACCACTCCTGTGCCGCGTGCCAGGCCTTGGCTGCACCAGCAGCATACTCCTCATCCTAAGGCCAGGGCCCAAGGGGTGGAGGGATTCACCTGTTGTGGGTAACTTTTTTTGTTGTTGTTGGTCATGGGCCTTGAACTCTGGGCCTGGGCGCTGTCCCTCAGCTCTTCAGCTCAAGGTGAGCACTCTACCACTTGAGCCACAGCACCACTTCCAGCTTCTTCTGCTTATGTGGTACTAAGGAATCGAACCCAGGGCCTCATACATGCAAGACAAGCGCTCTGCCACTGAGCCATCTTCCCAGCCCCATGGGGTAACATTTTTAATGGCCTTCACCAGCTCCAAAGCCCTCACTCACCTGCACTCCTGTCCCAGACCTCCATTCAGTAGCAGGGCCTGGAAACATCCTAGTACTTTGGCCTCCATGGTCTGCAGGCCTCTGTGGACAGGTGGGCTGGGCTCTTGGCCTTGGGCAGCCCATTCCCCTCCCTGGGTCTCGGTTCCCTGTGTGTGGAGTGGCTGAATGCTGGGCAGAGACCGTGGTGACCAGACAACTTGGGGCAAGATGCTGGCAGATGCGGATGTTCAGTGGAGTAAAGCAGCCTGACCCCACACCAGAAGAGGTCCAGGCGCCTCACCGTGCTGCCCCTGCAGTGTGCTCCCTCTGCTCTGTCCTCCATCCAGGCCATCCGGGTATTCTTCATGCTGCGCTCACTGTCACTGCAGCTGCGAGGGGAGCCCGAGACACAGCTGCCCCTGACTCGGGAAGAGGACCTGATCAAGACCGATGATGTGCTGGACCTGAGTGAGTGGACCAGGGCCTGGGATGCTGGGGGGAGGGGGTGGGGATGAGGTATGATGGGCATTTTGTACCGCCACCCCCCTGTGGCCCACCATGTGTCGGTGGTATGTGCGTCCTGTAAAAAATGTGAAGGCTTCCAGGCATCTGAGTTCAGCTTGTACATGCTGGTTCATGGAGAACAGAGGGTTTGCTGAAAGGTCTGAACTGAGCCATGGGAGGCTTGGCTTAGGCCCCTGTCTCCATGTAAGCTGGGCAAGCCATGTGACTGAGGGTTTTCTGCGTGAGCCAATGATGGGTGCTCCTGCTGCTGCTTGCAGGAAGCTGGCAAGGCACCAGCGTTGAGCAAGGACGGAGCTCCTGAGACCCAGGAGCTGGCCTCTAACCTGGAGCCGTGCCATTGAGCACCTGTCTTCAGTGTTCTCTGGCCAAGACTTGTTTTTAGGATTTTGGGATTTGTTTTGTTTTTAGTTTTGCTTTTTTTTTCATTTGAGAGTCATACTGTGTAGTCTGAACTGGCCCTGAACTTGTGATCCTCCTGCTTCAGCCTCCTGAGTGCTGAGACTACAGGAGTGCACTACAGCCTGGCTCAGAGCTGAGATTTAAAGGAGATAATGGGTATAAAGTCTGGTTGTTTCCATTTTCCATGGGGCACGTACTCACTGAAAGATGGCCTGGTTTCTGTTTAGTAAAAGCATTGTGAATAATGGGGGTCTTGGGTTATAGAACACAGAAAGCCGTGAATTGACTGGCCTGTGGAAAAAAGAAAGGGAGATGGCTGTCACCAGAAGGTCCAGAGAGGTTCTGTCTTCAAGCATGCCTAGATCTTGGTACGAAGGCAGAAGCATCAAGAAGCTGCCCCCTCTCCAATCTTGGCTCTGCTTTCCTCTGGTCCAGCTTCATCTTCAGGATGCCTCTCACTAGGTCCTTGAGAAATGGCCACCAGCAGCCCTAGGATTTGCTGTGCTGGCTAAGCAACCCTGTCAGACAAGAGGTTTAAAAAGTGTGGGGTCGCACCCTCACTGGCCTCATCACAGCACCACCCCTGAGCTGGGTAGTGGTCGGAGGAAGATGAGGCTGACCCCCTGAGGTCACCAGCCCACCCTCAAGCAGGGAGATGGGGCCTTCTGCCCTGGTCATTTGAGTGTGAGGAGGCACCCTTACAAGATGCCAGAGAGGCAATGGCTGGGCAGCGGGAACTGCGGATGGCTGTCTACTGCTGAATATGAGGTGTTGTTCCTGTGCAGCACGTTCACCAGCTTCAGTGTGTACTTCTGTGAGTTTTGGCAAGACTGTTGAGCTCTGTAACCCGCAGAGACTGCTGCCCTGCCCTGCGTCCCCTGGAGCAGGGGGACGCAGAGCCTCTCTTTCCTTCCTTGTAATGTGATGATGTTTGCAGCTAGGGGTCAGCTAGGTGGTAGAGCACTTGTCTAGAGTGCATAGGCCAGCCCCCAAACTGAGTAAATAAGTTTGAAAGGAGAGTGGTCTTTCTGGGCTACAAGGTTGTCTTGAGGGTGAGTGAAATACAGGCAGTGTGAGAAGCACGGTGTGTAGTATGTAAGAGGCTCAGCACATCACAGTCAGACCTGCTCGCCGATGCCACCATGCTCACAAAGAGCCTGGCAGTGCCTGGCGCTAGATGGCTCTCAGCAGTGATGACTACACGTGTCACCCGCTGTCAGCCTGCCTGTCTAGTGCTCTCTGGTGTTCCCACACTTCCATCATGGAAGAGTGAGAAGCCATGCCCCCTCTGTCCCCTGACCATCTCTTTTGTCCTATCCTCCTTGACAGATGGCCCCAGCAATTTCTGTAAGGGTGGAATTGACACAGTCCGCTGGCATCATAGCCAGTCTTTCTCCGACCTGAGCTGTGTAGAGGAAGGGATGCAGCAAGGCACCAATCACGTTTATGTCTGTGAATTGAAATTAAATTCTGTGCTGGGAATCTGCACTCCTGCCCCCTCCCCCTAGGAATGGCCCACTGAAAGGAAGGTTAAGAGTATTTCACTTATCAATTCTAATCGGTCCAATTGCTAGTTGAGATCACTTAGCTGAGCCCTTTTGGATAGTTGGCCATTAAGAAAGTAATGGCTGCCTGTCTTTACCCTGCCTGATTGCAAATTATCTTTTGCTAAAGAGGGTGATGCTCAGAAAATGCTGGGGACTGTGAGTTTTAAAGGCGCATGCTACTAGAATAAGGTGCCTGGGTTGCTGGTTGGCTGCTTTTTTGCTTCAGTTGTGGTACTGGTTACTGCTGGGGACATCACCTTATTTGCAGAGCACCAAGTGCTTTCTATGTGCATATAGGTGAGGATTGGATGATTGGAAGGTAGTTTTGTTTCCTTTTGCTAGTTTGAAGAAATTGACTCTGGGAGAGAGACTGAGAGTTGGTTACCCTGTTATCTCCCTTAATAAGGGCTTAAAGATAGGGTTCTGCACATGCAGGAAGCAGCGACCTGAGGTGTGTTTACTGACCTTTTCTCACTGCCGCCTTGATAAGAATGCTCCCCTGAAGCCCAGAGCAAGTGTTTGCTGGGCAGCAGCAGGTCTCTGGGCCTAGGTGGCACCAGGGATGGGTTCTGTCTTAAGAGCACCAAAGACAGGGTCCTGCTCAGGAAAGACTCATGCTAGCCTTTTATTTATTTATTATTTTAGCTGTACTAGGATTTGAACTCGGGGCCTGGGCTCACTTGTCTTCCTTGCTTGGCTGGTGCTCTCCTTGAGCCAGGCCTCCAGCTACACTCCCAATTCTTGTTCCATATTTGAGATCCAGCCCAAGGCCCCCTCTTTATCATTCTGTAGTGATGAATATGAAGGTGACGGAATGCCATGAAAGGCATGCAGTTGTTGCGTTGTGTATGCTGTGCCCCCGCTCCCTGGCACACAGCTCTGAGGCTCCATGGAGGTCCCTGGCTGCTCCTCTCACTGCCTAGAGAGCCGTTTCCAGCAACAGTCGCTCCCCAAGCAAGTTATGTGGTTTGATCGTAAGTCCATGAAAATGAGAGCTCATTGATTTGTCTTACAAAGCTAATGACAGTTTTGTGGTCTTGCCCATCAATTCTGGAAAATTCTTTATGTTAGCTTATTTTGCTGATGCCCAATCATGGTCATGTGCCTGATTCTGATGAAAGTGAGAACATAGTAATATAATAATGATGATGATGATGATGATGATGATGATGATGATGATAACAACAGTAAAGACAATGAAGAACAAGCCCAGGATGCAAACTACTTGAAGCTTTTAGAAACATACACATTTGGTTGGGGAGTATAACTCAACGGTGGAGCATTTGCCTAGCAAGCGTGGGGCCTGGACAAGACATGGAAGGAACTAAAAACATGAGAATGTCATGAAGACCCCTCTGACAAGAGCAGGGCAGGGTACTCTTCTTAGGCAAGAGGAGCCAAGGAGGCACGTCACTTTGACTGTTCCTGGGGTGAGGGAAGGAAAATGGCTCTAAAGAACAGTTTCTGGACATGGGTTGATTTGTATGGGGACTTGTGATTGGTCATTGTTGCTGAGGTCAGTGTTCCTCACTTGTGATTGGCTAATGTACTAAGGTCAGTGTCCACTTCCTGTCTGGGATGATATCACTGTGGTTCTGGGGGAGTATGTCCTGGTTCTTGGGGAGAATTGGCTCAAGGTTTAAGAGTAGAATGTCTGACGCCTGCCTCTTTGGGGTGACTCAGAAAAGGAAAGTGTGCAGGGAGGGTATGAGGGAGGAAGTAAGTGCAGCCGCTGTTAATAGTTGGTGAACAGAGGTGAAGGGCGGTGATTGGAGGCGAAGGGCGCGTGTGTGTGTGTGTGTGTGTGTGTGTGTGTGTGTGTGTGTGTGTCCCCGTTGGACTTTCCTTCTTCCAGCCCCATTCCTCCCCATGCACACTGCAGAGGAGTACCTGCAGCTTGGCTTGTGGCTCCCTAGTTAGTGCCTGCTGCGGCACCTGGTACACAGTAAGCACCCAGAAAAGGTTCATCAAGCTTTAGCAGTCACTTTATTTATAAACACAGAAACTGGCATTTCTCAATGTTGTCTTGAGTGACTTAAGGCAGCTGGATTGTGAGTTGAAGAATGTCCCTCAATGCATACATTAGAATAGTCATGTTTCCAGGTGACATTTCTCCCCCACAAATGAAAGAACCCCAAATGTTACACCCACCCGGGCAGTTTCTAAAAATGTAGATCAGCACCAAGTCATCTTGCCTAGCTAATAGCTAGAATGCCTCTCCCTTTCTTTCTCTCCCTCTCATTCTTTCTCTCTTTTTCCCTTTTTCTTTTTTTCTTTTTCATTTCTCTGCTATGAAAGTGGGGCTCAGAACTGGATGGATCAGAAAAAAAAATCATGCTTGAATTAAACCACCAATTCTCTAAGGAAATGGAAAACATGGAATTAATGACATTTCCCCTCTCTCTATGAATTAGACTTTTTCTCCATGGGCTTGATGAATAATGTTGCTGGCCACTTTTCAGAAATGAAGTAGAAATAAGGAGAAATGAAATTTGTATCTTATAAACTGACTGGAAATGTGATTATAATACAGCTGTCAGTTTTGTTCAAGTGGAAAAACTTTAAGTAAATCCAATTGCAACATTATTTGGTTCTTTTAAAGCAGGGTGATGTAGCTGTTTCCTGAGTATTGATTATTTGATTGGTACCTGTCTGCTGGACCTATTTTTTTTTTCCTCAGTAACTCTCATTGATGTGGTTTAATGTATATTCCTGTAATCTTTCCTGTTTTATAAACTTACAATCATAATTGAGCTACATTAGAGAGACATGTTTTGCTGAGATCACAAGGTCACCTAATGATTGTGCCCTGTTTGGGCACTGAAGTGGCTGTAGGACGGTCCTGAACGAGACACACCATAACTGTTTTCTCTAAGTCCATTCAGTGCACCGGGGAAATGGGAGAGACTGGGGTTTGAGCTTTTCCCTTCTTTGCCTATTAAAATTACTGTTTCTGCTGAAGACGCTACAATTTGAATATTGTTTTTTCAAAGTCCA